ACAATAAATAAAGTTCTACATAGATTAAAGATTATCTCAACAACATATTAGTATGTCGGTAGCAAAGCCAAAATTAAAATGTTTGAAGGTGTTACAAAAGTAGATACTACTAGCATATTTACTGGCGTAAGCGATAGCAAAATGGTCGAGATATACAGAGTGTAAAAGAACAACAAGAATGTTTTAAGTAGAGTTTGCAAGGAAGAGAAAAACAAAACAGCACTTAACAAAAATAAAGACAAAAAAGTAGAGAGAATGGAAAAGAGAGAAAACGTTGTACCTATAAATGATGTGAGTTGGAAAGACGAGATTCATTGGTTCTAGTGACTATTTAATAAGTTAAAGGTTTCATGCCTGATGCATTCTTTATCACACAGAACACGGGCTAGGTAGGGTATGGATGAGTTTTTGTACTTACTAGTGCGGGCATATAGTTTCCTATATAGACTTCTTGTTTTCCCTGAAGAGATACATGGGGAGAGTTGTGAGTGTAGAGGGTGTTGTGAGTCAGATAAAATGGACTTCGCCCATTTTTCACATGAGTCCATGTGCCTGTCCACCAGAATGTTAACAAGCTGGCTAAGTGGCAAACTGCTTACCCTGCTGACAACCTTTAACATCCTACGTAATAAGGTATAGTCTTTCTTCAATAGCCCAGGAAAGACTAAGGGGGAGCAATAGAGAATTATAGGCAGAATACGGGAGTTAACAAATTGTAGTAGTAAGGGTTGGGTTACACCAGAATGTCTTAACTTCTTGATGTAGAAGGTAAGACGGTATATTTTCTTGGAAATCGTCAAGATATGAGACGACCAGGAAAGATCAGAAGATAGAGTGACGCCTAGGTATTTAATTTCCGACTTAGTTTCTATTTCAGTGCCATCTATGTTGCACACCTCGTGAGCGCTAACCAGTTTGTTTAGGTCAGATTTATGCCTAAAGGTGAAATTAACTGTTTGGCATTTGGAGGGGTTTAAGGTTAGACCGTTTTCCTTGGACCATTGGCTAATTTCTGATAAGAAGCCATTTAGTTTAGAGCAGTCATTTTGACATTTGACAGGTAAAGATACAGTTAGGTCATCAGCATATTTGACAAAGTTAATATCATTTGAAGACGGTAGGTCATGTAGGAAGAATGAAAAGAGAAGTGGGGAGAGTACAGCACCTTGGGGGACACCAGATTCAGTGAGCACAGCAGAGGAGGATTGACCTTTGTATACGGTGTACTGCATTCTGTTTGAAAAGTAGGAATGCAACCACTTAGTGACCCAAGACTCGGTTTGTGTCGTGGAGAGCTTATTTAGCAAGAGACTTCTAGGTACAGAGTCGAAAGCAGAAGTAAAGTCAAGAAACGTGCAGCGGACATATTTGGCACCTTTGTCTAATGATGAGACAATACTGTTGTGTAAGACGGCTGCAGCGTCTAAAGTACTCCTACCCTGTCTGTAGGCAAATTGTTTGGGGTCTTCGAAGCTTTTAAGGGAGGGTTCGAGTTTAAGAAGTATTAGTTTTTCCATGAGCTTTAGAAACGGGGAAGTGATGGCGATGGGTCTGAACTTTACGTTCTTGCTATTTCCAGGTTTAGGGACAGGGACTATTTTAATGTCTTTCCATGGAACAGGTACAACGTTTTCGGAGAAAGAAGCATTTAGGATATTAGTTAGAGGAGAACATAAAGCATCTGCACATTGTTTTAGGACATATGCAGGTATGCCATCAGGGCCAAGACTATGTGAGGGCTTAAGAGTTTTAAGACATTTCAAAACATCGAGAGTATTGAAGTCCTGGAAGTTATCAGCTACAAGATTGGTAACATTAGAAGTGGTTATGGTAGAAGGAGAGCGTATAAAAGACAGATTAAGAGCATTAACATCACAAGAGGGAAAAACATTACATCGCTTACTATTGCCAGTAATTTCATTGAAAAGTTTCCACATGCTGTTTGGAGATTTGCATGATAAAAGTGTTTGGTTATAGATAGCATTAAGATTTTTGATTTCAGATTTGATTTGAGCATTTATCTTTTTAAGTCCTAACTTGTCTTTGCATTTATATAACATTTCTTTTTGCCTGCGAAGTTGTTTGAGATGGGGAGAGGAAAAGCGGTCGAGGCGTTTGAACAGTGTTTGTTTGGGACAGCATATGTCAAGGCAGAACTTAAGATAATCCATTATATTGGTGATTGAGTCATCTAATGTACTTTCATAGAATAGATCCCAGTTGGTATCTTTTAACATGCATCTTAGATTGAGTAAGTTGTCAGATGTGTAGCTTCTTTGTTGTGCCTTCGTGGACAGGTGTGAGAAGATTTTAATATGTGTTTTGCTGTATATTTTTGGCAAAACGCGGACAATGCAGTGATCGGAGTTATGTATCGGTGAACGTCTACGTGTTTCATATACTCCTTCATCATTGGTAAAAACCAAGTCAAGGGTTTTGTCAAGTCGAGTGGGAAATTTGACTATATTTGTGTGACCAAGAGCTTCAAGAAAGGAGCAATCTGATGTGTTGAAGTCTCCAGTAATAACGGATAGAGAGTTGTCGAAGTTGGCAGCAGCAAACATGGTGAATTCATCAGCAAAATTAGATAGATCAGATGGAGAGCAACTAGGAGAAATGTACATGTTTGTAATATAGAATTGTTGATATTTGGGGAGGTGTTTGGGGCGACATTTGACAGTAATACAGTCAATGAAGTCATTTGAGAAGGTGAAGCAGATGTTATTTGAGACAGACCATTTGGAGTGAATAAAAGTTGCAACGCCACCACCATTTTTCTTATTACAACATTGACGGTCTTGTCGAAATAAAATAAAGTCCTTTAGTGAGATAAGGTTGTCATCATACAGTTCATGCAACCACGTTTCTTGTAATGCGATTATGGCAGTGTTATGATACGTATCAGTTGACATCAGGGATTGTAGATACATTATCTTATTTGGTAGAGAGCGACAGTTTGAGTTCATTATGACGGGGACCGTAGTTAAGTGTATTGGTGTACGTTTGAGAGCTCTCTGCCAACCACTACGATGTTTCCTTCTTGGTTTCTTTGGAATATGAAAGTCATTTGGTCGTAAATTATTAATAAAGTTACGAGAGTAAATGATTCTGTTAGAATTCATATTTAAGTGATAAGTGTATGCTGGTAAACAGGAAACTGGATGCAAAATGTAGATATTTTGGTAGCAGGCCCAAAAATTCAACAGGCCGCCAAGGTCAAGGTGGTTTTAGTATCTGATCTACAATAGCTGTTGCAACAGTGATATCTATCAAACTGCATTCAATGAAAATCGGTTTACTGCACATTACTCAAAACACTTGTCAAACATTGCGTGAAAAACCAGGGATTCTGAATCTCACCTTCGTTAGTCTCAACAATCCACAACTACGCTTATTGTCAATCATTTCTTAGTTATTAATATTCTATACGGTAAGTTCGTGGGCAGTTAATCAAGGTAGTCACGTTACTTACACTGGCGCTTTCTTGAATTTGAGTCGTTTAGATTACACCAAAAGAATTCTATCCCGTTAAACAAATTATGGAACGGTACTTATGTTAAAACCATACTAACCTTTTTCTTATTGGAAGATTATTAAATTTCTCTGATTAATCAGTTCTTACTAATTGATAATATGACAAAATATGTATTTCCAATAAGCTTCTCTAACACTTAAATTGAAAAATAGTCAGTCGAATAGTGAGATTTTTCTTTCTTTCTAGTCCTTGAATTTTTCCGCATCTTTCAAGCACGACATTGTTAATGAACAAGCCTGACTTCCAGGTCGTAAGGTAAACATGTCTACCATTGAGTCACTACATGAAATGTGACAACTTAAACTGCTGTACGTCTGTAAAAAATTCTACGTTGAAACCAGCCAGCCAGTCAGTCGATTCGTCTAATCTTGTGTGGAGTAGGTAGAAATGCGCAAACAGATTTAAAACTATACTTGATTCATTTTGCTGAAAGTCTGTGAGTTCTTTAACGCTAAAGCAACGTAGGATTCTTGTTGTTGCACCTGTGGTCTTTGAAAACAAAATTAAGTTTATTGCATATCAACAGCCTGTACAAGTTTATTAGCCCGCCTAATTTAATGTGTCTGGGGTTTTCAAACAGTTCAGAAGTTATCCAAAGTGACAATGGTTTCACCGGGTGATTTTGGGAACAATTAGTCAACTAGGTGAATGTGCGCTGTAAATCAATAAGTAAGATATAACACAGGAAATCAATCCTTTTGAAACCAGGAGAAATGTTCAAACTTATGTGATAAAAGCCATTGTTAGTGCAAGAAGCTATCGATTAATTAGGATATACAAAAGACAAAATGTAGCCTAAAATAACGGTAATTAGGCCTGAAGATCATCTAAAAAGGAGAATATCTCTGAGGTACTGATGCAGGTGAATGAAAAATACTGTACATAAAAATATCAACCTTTTTTATAACTTCGTTTATCATTAAAAAACAAAACTTTAATGTCAGTTCTATCACATAAACTGTGCATTGGTGCATGTAACTGTGTAACGAAGTTTGTTTGAACTGTACGGGACCATGATCACATCACTAGACATTCGCTAGGGGTCGCACTATGTCGTGAATAGGCAGAAGTTAGAAATCATGGATTAGCCATTGGATCGGGTCCCAGTGGCTTAATATTATACGAGCTCGCTATTCTTGTAACCAGAAGGTCCTGGGTTCGAACCGTGGTGGGTGGATGCGTACTGCTGAAGAGTCCCAAACTAGGATGAAACAGCTGTTTAATACTCCTTCTAGGATTTCCAATGGTTCTCTAATCAATGTCAGCTCATGATGAAATCCTGTAAACCAATCAAATCCCTACAACCCAACACTTGAACATTAATAGATATTTCAGTAAATATTGACAAAAGCCTAATACTGATTCTTACATAGATTGAAAAGATAAAATGTGTGGTTTCCATTGGATTAAAATTAAATTTAGAAATAATTTATATTCTGTAAACAAAATCGTATAGAAATTATTTAAATGGATTTACAGAAATTATGCATTTTGTTATACGCCATATGAAATAAAATTTCCTATAAAACATTTAAATCTGGTAATGAGTTAGTTATATTGCTTGATGAGCATAATGATTATCTGATTTAATACAAGTAATAAACATCTTAATCAACTAAATTTTTAATCATTTTTACGGTTTAACAGTTCAATATATGATTTTCGTGCAATTTGAACCAAGTTTGCAGATTCCGTAGGTCCACATTGCTTAACTAGATTTGCTAAAAAGCCATTAGAAGTGATTTGAATATCATTCGATGTCGGTAGATTCTTTATGCCAAGTTCATAGTCTCTTTTGTCGGCTTTAGCAAGATTTGGATTTAGTAAGATATGTGGATGGTCAGATTCCACTACTTCACCGCCTTCCATAACTACCAACATTTCACTGTCTATAACGGTGCGCAGTCTGTGCGCAACTGTCAATACAGTACAGTCTTTGAACACGTTTCTAAGGGTATGTTGAATAACAGCATCAGTTCTAAAAGTAATAAAATCGAAAAATAGATTTAGAAGTAATTGAATAAATTAGTTGCAAGTTGGACATTATAGATTAAACTCATGTACAAACTTACCCAGGATCGATATTAGATGTTGCCTCATCTATTACCAATATCCGGTTTCCACTTAAAATTGCACGTGCTAATGCTAGTAGTTGTCGTTGTCCTGTACTGAAGTTGGAACCACCTTCACTAATGAATGCATCTAAGCCGCCACTGAGATTTCTGACCGTTTTGTCTAAGTTTACCTGCCAGTATTAAAAAAAAATGCCTATCAGTGAAAGTAAGTATGTGCAAGGAGCCTTAATCATATACATAATAGCTTACTTAAATAATAAATTTTATAAACTAGGCAATTCTGTCCTATAAAGACAAAAGTTTTTGTCAGTCAAATAAAAATTTTAAGATATAACAAACATACACATTCAGCATAAGTAGGATATAACCAAAAAAAGGCCTAGAAAAAACAGGTCACATTCCAGATTTCAACAATAACAGTTCATGTATGATGCAATATTGTTTATACTCAATTTGTTTTGATTAAAATGAAGTAAAAGTACCTGTTTTTGCTACACCTTTGATCAATGTGTTGTAGTACATCATTCTAAAACGATTAGTCCCTTTTATAAATTCGCATAGTATTATTAGAAGACGGAGATTATCTGAAAAATATGATGTATTTGCGCTGTACATTTCGAGCAATCTGATCACACAGTTACTTGTCAAGTCGATATACATGAAAAAATTAAGGGCAATTAAATTAAACAAAGTGACAAAAGAAAAGGAGTTAAGAATGATTAACACAGTGTTTGGTAATCCAATCAAATAAGGATCACCAAGGTAGGCTAAGGGTAATAATAAACTGTTTTTGAATACACAGGGGGAGAGGGCTTAAGTTTATGCATAGCTATAACCTCAGCGTATTTCAATAAGCGCATATGAGGGTGGGAGAGCATATCCCGAAGTAGTTAGAAAAACAAATGAATTGTGGAAAACCAATAGACGCAGGTGCCAGACTACCGACTTCGTCTAAAGCTAAATACCTAATCGAGATGAACCATAAGAGTGATGTTAACTCAGCCTTTAAGGTCATCTATCAGAATGGTCAGTGGCGCTTATTGAAATACGCTGAGGTTATAGCTATGCATAAACTTAAGCCCTCTCCCCTGTGTATTCAAAAACAGTTTATTATTACCCTTAGCCTACCTTGGTGATCCTTATTTGATTGGATTACCAAACACTGTGTTAATCATTCTTAACTCCTTTTCTTTTGTCACTTTGTTTAATTTAATTGCCCTTAATTTTTTCATATATATCGACTTGACAAGTAACTGTGTGATCAGACTGTTCGAAATGTATAGCGCAAATACATCATATTTTTTCAGGTAATCTCCGTCTTCTAATGACACTATCTAAGTATATTATTCTCTTTCAGGATGCATTTGGATTGATTAACTGCCGTTAGATGTAGAAAACAGAAACCTGTTAAATGGTAGTCTGATATGTCGCAAAATACTAAGAAATTGACAGGGTAACCGTTTTGACGAGTGAAGTTACATTCACTTCCAAAATAATGTAGACACACGTGCTACTTGAGAATTGATTCAAATACACATTTGTCCTGCAGTAGTAGACATATAAGCGAACTATATTGTTTTCAATTAGATCTTCTTCAGGCTTTACTCTAATTTACATGGACGTTTATATAAAAAATTTTAACCAATGACGGTGACATTGTGGATCAAATGATAATAATAATAAGAAGAACGTGGTAAGCTGCCTAGTTGTGCCGCTTCCATGTGTATCTATAAATTTAGTGGCTACTGTGGAGAAAGCTATATGGGCCGAACAACTAGACAGCTTAACAAACGCATTAATGAGCATCTTCCTTCATGGTTCAGAAAAGGTCAAAGATAATCCATACGAAGTTCCACTTTGGCTCATTTGATTGATAGAGGTCACCAAATGGACAAAACAGTGCCTTCAAAGTTATCTACCGCATTCCATCGAGTCTTTCGAACGGAATGAGAACCCGTTTTTTACACTTAGCCGTAGCTATGGGAATTCTAGAGAACAATCCTATTCTTTGCATACAAAAGAAGTTTGTTCTACCTTTGTCCCTCCTTTGGCCTAGGTGAATTCTTATCAAAACCCTCCCACTCTTTCTTATCTTCCATCTACTATGTACTTTTGTGATATTTATTTAAACTCTGATTATCGTTCCATTTCACCTTTTAAGATTTGACCTAATTTATTTATTTATCGAATTGTCTACATATACACATATATACATATACTATCTTTGTTATTCTTATCACCTGCATATCCCTTATTATTAATGCTTTGTTATCATTATAATCATCGTTATTAATTTCGCTCAAAGCATTTACCACATTCTTCTTCTTCTTATTATTTGATCCACAAAATCACCGTCATTGGTTAAAAATTTTTTATATATAAGTCTATGTAAAATAGAGTAAAGCCTGAAGAAGATCTAATTGAAAACAATATTGTCCGCTTATATGTCTTGTTCTAATAACTAGAAGAACAATTAAATTACAAGAAATTGTGTCCAGTATTTCATATGATACTGGAAAAGTTGTGATGATATGTCGGTGAAGCAAGGCTGTACTTATTGTTTCAATAATTTCTGTAACTAATGACGTTAACCTTTAGATTGTTGTAAACTTTACTCAAATTTTTGTTTGAAGCACGTTTAACTTTCTGTATAATTTTAACTCATTCGTCATTGTATCAGATAACAAGCCAGTGAAAGCGAAAGAATAATTTGAGTTCTTTAAACATTTAAATATTTCTAACAGTAAAGTATTTGTTGTTCTTCTCTAAGTTTGTTCGAATGAGAAATACACTTCAGGTTTGATTATTGGTAGAGTAAAGCAGAATCCTACTTCTAGACATATATTCACGAAGGACATGAAGGCGATGAAGGTATTAATGAATGGTTGTAGTTTTGAAATTGTATAGTCATAGCACCTATCAAATATGTCGGCCAATATGCAGTGATACAACTATGAAATATGAAAATTAAATAATCTTAGTTTTACCCAACCACAGATTGAACGTGATAAATAAAATGGGTGATAATAGTTAGAAGTAAGACTTTAATTCTCATAAAAGCAATGAAGGCCGCAATCTTCGGATGCAATCCTTTGAGTATATCGGTAATCATCACAATTCATACATAGCCTTTTTTTCATGAATATAAAAGGCCACTCATCCGACAATATTTTCCACCAGTTATGGTGAAAATGCTCTTAACCACAGCGCTTTGAAAAGTGGTAGTTATGGGACTAGGCAAATCATTAATCAAAGCAGTTAGTCCCTTTGATTTATTTGAATAATTCATGAAAAATCCCCAATCGAACAAGAATAGACAGAAGGCCAGTTTTTCAGCGAAGAGTCTCTTTTTGGCGAATTCATTTTCATAGTTGTACAATCGCAAATATATATGGTTGTTTTTTATGTGTGAACATTAAATTTGCCAAACGAAAATACAACTAGTAAGTTTTTTGTGGAGTTACGCAATACAAAAGACGTTCAGATCAACTGGATGTTGATATAAGAGGGGAGTAACAAAAAGGATGAGTTATCACAAACGATTGTTAAAGAAGAGTTACGTAATAACATGAATGGTTTGTTTCCATGCACACCCTGATTACAATTTCATCAAAGTATTCATATTATTGCGTAAGCCTTCTTTAACAATCGTTTGTGATTACTCATCCTTTTGCTACTCCCCTCTTATATTAACATCCAATTGATCTGAACGCCTTTTGTATTGCGTAACTCTACGAAAATCTTACTAATTATATTTTCGTTTGGCAAATTTAATTTACACACATACAAAATAAGCATATATATTTGCGATTGTACAGCAAGGAAAAGGAATTCGCCGAAAAAAGACTCTTCGCTGAATTACTGGTCTTCTGTTTATTTGAATAAGGCATTACGAAGATAAATTCTGCGAGATGATATCATTTCGTAGCTTCTCGAAAATCGTTACTGCTGTAGCATTATAACTTGCAGTTGATGAGGGCATCCCGTTGGGGAAGAAGAAGCGGTCAGCAGTCCAGATTGACAAAGATGAGTACTGTTTCAAGAACTCGTATGCACTGTCCACATCAAAGGACTATGTTTACTGAAATATGATCGAGGTATAAAGAGTTGTATGAATCCTTATACTCATTGACCGTTGATGATGTCTGTTTAAGATCACTATGAAAGCCAAAGCATATGGGTTGAAAACACAATTTTTTTACCTGTACAGTGTAAAAAAATTAGTTTGCAATAATTTAATCACTTTTCTCTTTTACATCATGTTTGATTCTGATGTTCAGAAATATGTCAACATCTACTGCAACGCAGAAACGCTTGTTGTCAATACCTACTTCCACGGCAAACAGATCACATAACATACGCAGTTTTCGCGTGATAACTTTTATTATTTATATTATTTAGTGTTCCCTTGTGTTCTTAGTGGAACATAGGGCTTCAACTGCACGTCTCCACTTGCTTCTGTCTTCTGCTGTACTTTCACTTGCATCCATGTTAGTCTATACTGTCTCAACTCCTCTTCACACGATCTCCTCTGTGTCACCCTTGCTCTGACGTCCCACTCACTGCTTCCCCTTCCGGTTCCACTCGAGCATTGGCCTGACGCACGCACGATGTCCCTCAGTGGCCTCCTCAGCGAGTGTCCAATCCATCTCCACTTTCTCCTACATATTTGCTGGTCGGCGATTGGTTCTTGTTTTGTTTGTTCCCATAGTTTCTTGTTGGTGATTCTTTTCGGTCCGGCAATCTGATTTTCAGTATAGAGCGAAGATAGTTGTTGATAAAGGTCTGCAACAGACAGTTGGAAATATTCTTTGTGACCCACCCGCCAAGTTTCTCATCCGTATAGAAGAGCTGACTGACTTTACGTTTGTATTGAAAATCCGACTGGATTTTGTTGTTGATGCTGAGTGATAACTTTAGTGAGCCAAAATGCATTTATTACCTAAATGAGATAATCAGTCCTCAAATGACATCTATCGATTATGAACTTTGAAATAGTTGAGTTAAATAATCTATTTTCTGACGGTACTAGGTATTCAGAACAGTGAGGCACTATCATGAAAAAATGTATAAACTCTTACTCTTTCTAAAGCATTCCATAGAGACTCATCTGTTTCTTCGTTCAATGGGTCCATATTTGTTCGAATTGTCCCAGTAAACATGATTGGATCCTAATTTTGAAAATTATCACTTCTTGTTAGTCAGTTAGGTAAAGAATAAAAACAATTATATAATTGGAATAAACTCGAGTGAAAGCTCTAACTCTTGTTCTCTTAAATATTGATACTGAGTATTTGAATTCACACATAGGATGTAAAATACAATAAAATGCCGTTACCTGCAGGGAAGTATATAGACACTGCTTCCTTAAGATTGTTGAACTTTACTGGGAAGAATAAAATTTACCTAACGAAGATATGAATACTTCCCATTGAAGTTTTACTATTAAATGTGTTGTCTGTTCAAGTTAACCTTCATATCCAGGATTGGTTTTTAACAGTCAGAAATACATAGTGGTTACACTCTCTACGACTCAACGATGCTTTTTAAACTTTATAGTAGTCAGAGATATTGAGCACATTAAGCACAACATTAGTAAATCTTTTGTATTCCTCTGTAACATTTTACTCATACACGAATAACATTTGAAGCAGATGAAAAAGTCATTCAGATCCAGTATACTATATGTCAAAAGTTCGAGACACAGAATGAAACCAAGTTGTACTGTTTTTTTTTAAATTTTTTGTAATTCTTATCACTCCTTGAGTTCTTAATGCATTATATGGCTTCTGGGTTTGATATCTGAAGTTTCAGTAGTGCTGATGTTGTTTTTTAGGTATGGAGTTACTAATCTCCTACTCAAACTTCTTTGTTTACCACGTTTACTACCAGGAATCAAATCCAAACCACTTATGGGGCTGGTGAGCGATTTAGCGTGGTGCCACCGGTACATGAATTCACATAGCATAAGGGGAGAAATTCACGTTATTATTAAGATGCATTTGTTTCTGATTTTATCAATATTTATGTCTGCAAATGACATTTTAAGAGTACAAATATGTATACAAGTTATATACTTTCTGTCGTCATAACTGGATTTACGCGGATAAAAGACTGACATCCAATCATATTTTAATCCCCTTCGATTTTTCTGTACTAGATGGCTTTTAGGCCAACTAGTAAGACAAATGAAGATATTTTGTAGAAACCTATAAGCAGCATGTATTGAGAGTATTTCATCTTTTTTCCTGTTAAATTCATTTATTTCTACATAATTCTTTATTTTAGAGAATTATTTAAAAGCCTAAACGAGGTCAATGTTTCACTTATCGAATCATATTTGATAAATCCGCTTTTTCGAAATTTAATTATCTTTTCACGTATTGAACAATATAATAACTACTGAAATCTAGGCTACATTATTCATCTGAGTATTCAAAGCTTTGTGATTTTCCTTTGAATTCTTCGATATTATCGTATTATCGTAATTCAGGCTGATAGTTGTATGCATGAAACTCGATCACTAGAAAAATGAATATAAACTTACTTGAGGAATTACCGATATTCTCTTTCTTAAACTTTCTAGTTTAAGGTGTTTAATATCCACATTATCAATTATAACAGATCCTTGTTCTCCTTCAACAAGTCGGAAAAGAGCTGAAATCAGTGAACTTTTACCAGCACCTGTTCGTCCCACAATACCTACCTAAAGTGTATTTTAGAGACGGAAAGTAAACTGAACGTAACATAAAAATTTACATGAGGATATATATATATATATATATATATATATAAATCATATACGTAAATGTACGTATCCTTTTCCTGCATAAATAATGGAATTATTCTTAGGACAGTTTGTGTGAAATAAATCTGTATTTTAAGGAAAGGTTGACAGAAGATTGCGATAATATGTAATTATCTCATAAACTAATATAGATTACATTGGTGATTAGTTTACCAAGAAGCTTCACATTTATTATGATTTATGAAATTGCTGTTTACGAAATGAATCAACATTTTGAAACAGATAATTCGGATTGAAATCCAGCCCTCAAGGAAAATAACATTTTAAGACTTGGGCCCCAAACACATGAGGTATAGTGTGATATATCTACTGTAGCAGTCGCTTGTTACCTGATGGCATAAGTAAATACCTAAACAAAGATTTTCCCGTCTCTCCTCATCCCTCTCTCTCTCCCTATATATATATGGTTGGTTTGGTGCTTTCCGAATTGCACCATCTTTTGGGGAAGCCTGGAATCTGGCTACTCATCGGAAGGTGTGTGTGTACTGAGCAACTGTTTGTTCTATTCTCCTTTCCGTCTGTAAGACGTGATCATGTCATGTAGAGGATACAGTGAAATAAGACGTTTTCAATCAATTGTCTGAGTTCGATTCAGCGACTTGTTGAATAAAAGCGTTAAGAAAGGCGAGAAAGTCACTAGACAAAGTTGTGAAGATCCACCGATTTAGTCAGTTGGGAGCTGTGTTGCATATTGCGACCCACTATTGTTTTCGCCAGGAAATACTGAATGAAGCAGTGTTAAAATGGAAGAAGGTTTAGATGTAGTCAGACTAAAACATATTACTATCCAATGAAATTATAGATGCTAGAGCAGAGTCACGTCAGTTGGTTTAAACTACTTTGCTGAAGCCATAGAAATATGGAGAACAACTTTTCATAGATCTTTTGGTGATTGAGTACAGTTGTGTAGATTGTCACTCCTATTTATATTCCAATTTTTCAGAATGTTTACTAATCCCGATTAAATCAAACCTTTTCATATACCACTACGTTCATTGTAACTTTATTGCTTGAATGTTTTCTTCATGTTTCACTTGGATATCCTCAAGAAGCAGTAACTTGAATTAATGTATTGTTTTTGCAACACTGTACGTTGCTAAATCATTTAGTCAGTACATATGTTAACTAGTCATCAAATTCTACTTGTAATGTCTTCATTTTTATTTGATGCATCAAAGTGAAATTATCAAGTTTTTGTTACTGAGAAGAAAGATTACCTTAGAACCTGGTTTGATGTCCAAATTTATATTTTTTAGAGCCCAGTTATTTGTAGATCCATAACGCATACCAAAGTTGTCAAATTTTATATGACCATATGCAGGCCAGTTAGCATCAGGTGGAGGTAATTCAGGAGGTTCTGTTATTTCAGGCTCTAAATCCACATATTCAACAGCGCGTTCAACAGATACCATCTGTTAAAATAATAGAGAAGGAAATAATTTAAAAATTTAGGTAATTAGGATGATTGGGAATGTTTCATTGGATTTACTAACTAACTGAACAGAAATAAAATAAGTTTATACTCTTCTGCCCTTAAAAGTGATTATTGTATGATTTAAAAATATAATACTAATAAATCTCCTGTGTAAAAATAGTAGGTATACTGTTGTAAATATTTTTTCGATTATAGCTTGATTCCACACCGCATTTTTGGTACAAGTATAGAATTTTCAGCATGTGATATCGGTAGCTCAAATTTTGCAGGCCGACCATAGATATCAGGTGTGCGTCGGCAGGGGCTCGAATCCCGGACCATCTGCGTGGTCGTTGAGAGTCCTAACCGCTGTGCCACCAACGTACAATACTCTATTGATTTTAGTTTCTCTGCGAACTTTAGTGAATACCATGTTATTTTTGGTGAATAAAATATCCTTTTGTATCTGAGTGAAGACAGGCTACGACGAATACTTCTGTCTTGCTTGATTGTGAGCATAAAACCAACACGATGTGGATTATTAATGTCTATGAAGAATGTAAGACTACACTTGTCAACCACCTGATATATTTAACCAGACCAAGAAAAAATGAACGTTTAAATGTGCATCTTACAAATGGCGTTATTTCATTCTGCTCCAAGAGTCCACTCGAATAGTTAGCTGATACCTGTATGACTAGAAAGTGTTTCCGTTTTAAAAAAAAATATTGAGAAGTCGATATCAATCGCTGTTAGACTGATAGTAGTTCATCGAAAGCTTTGAATCAAACAGACTGTTGACATCTTTCAAAATATGCATAAAACGATTTTATAACTCACTTGATTCTCAACTTCTGCACTTTGTCGTACACACCACTGGAACAACCCTATAAGACTACTTGAATAGGTAATCATCAAACCGACATTAGCTCCGGATATATCTGAAAAATTGCCAAAACAAAATTGATATAGTCCTATTTTTGTAGCCTTGAATATTCATAGTATGAATTTATTAGCTTCAGAAACTTTAACCCATTCAAAATAATTCATGGTGATATTAACATACTACTGAATAGCAAAAAAAGAATTACTGAATGATCAGCAGGCCAAATTCATTTTTTTAAAAACTGTTTCTCATAAACACTTAGAAATGTAGGTTTAGAAATTAAGAAATGCAATGACGATTTATTTAGTCAGTAAGAATTGGGGGTGAACTTTATTCAGCAGATCTTACTCATAAACCAATGATCACATTTACGTAGGCTCTTACATATCAAACGTGAACATGTACAAAAAAAGGAGAATATCATTTATTTGTGTTTATGATACATTGATTTAAATTTACTGATCAATGAGACATTTTTAACTGTTTCAAGTTCAAAGGTAAAAGTATTTAATAAAATTCTTTCTTCAATATTGTTGCCTTTTTTTCCCAGCCAGATGCTTTACCATGTTTTTCAAGACAAAATGCATTCAGTAACTAAAATTCAAAGTTTAATTTTTTAATGTTTGGAGATGATCGGTATGATTCTATGGACCTAGATGTTTTTGATTGTTAGTCTTTCAAAAAAATAAACTAAGTTTTTGCTTCACTATCGTGAACGTAGATTGAAAATCTACTTTGATACTCAAATTTTCTGTATGCTTAAGTATGTGTAATCAAGAGTTTTTAGCAAACCATTTTTTAGACAGTCAACATTGAGAACAACATTATTTAACACAACTAATCCTGTATCCAAAGCAACTGGAACACACTACAATTTATAATGAGTTATGAAAACTATGAGACCATGGAATTTAAGAAAACAATGCCGAGTTAGTACGATTGAGAATAGGGAAAATTTTTATGCTGTGCGTCGGTGGCACAGTGGTTAGGACTCTCCCCGATCATACACATGGTCCGAGGTTCGATCCCTTGCCGACGCACACCTGATATCTATGGTCGGCCTGCGAAATTCGGGCTACCGATATCCATGCTGAAAATTCCATACTTGTATCAAAAATACAGTGTGGAATCAAGCTGTAATAAAAAATAAAATGAAAATAAAAAAAATAAATTCTGATTTTCACAACAGACCGCTGTTTATTCATGCTTATTCCCCTAAAATATTTGTTTCATAAAGGTGATAGTTCAGCAGTAGAGCAATTGCCAACCACGCATGTGGCCAGTGGATCGATCTTCGGCCAACGCAGTCCTAAACCTCTCTAATTTGATAGTAAGATCGGCAAAGATTGAAGGTCGCTCATGAAGTTAGCAAACCCACCCACCGTAAAAATAAAAACTACAGCTATTGAAACTCTAAAGCTCAGGCTTGAAGCCCAATGTTTCATTCGGAATGTTAAGGAATGAAATAGAAAATAAGGAAAAAAGTGAATAAAATAAGAAGAGAGGTCTGCTTTTGACGGTCGTGTGTTAATAAGGACTTCATTTTTTCCCACAACATTTACAATCGTTATTTGTATTTTGGTAATAGCAAGGAAAGTTTTAGTAATGATAAAAAAGACACGAACTGGAAAATTGTAACAGCAAGCCGCAATATTTTTGCTAACTAAATTTTCCTAAAAATATGGATTGAAGTAATTCCGTTATCGGACTGACCATATACTCCTGGCCTTCAGCTGAAATCACCTAGGCTATGCAGTTTGCATTTCTTTCCTAAGTATTTCGAGAAGAGATTAACTTTCGTCATGAAGGTGACAGGGAACAGTCAATCACTTGTACACTTCTGCCTTCATTAAAGCCCTATAAACCAGTAAACTCTCCCCTCTGTTGTTTTGATTCCTTACTTTCCGAGTGAAATATAGGGCTTAACGTCAAATCTTGTCTCTTTAATGAGTTTGCTTCTGGTTAGGTAAGGGTTGAGAGTATGTTGGTCAGGAGTTGGGCCTTGACCTCTGACTTAGCTGCTGAATAATATTCCTTCCTGTCACTTCCTGATAGCCAGTTGTCTACTACAGTTATGTTTGAATAGTCACTTACACCTCGTTATTGCTAAATTTAGAGAGGAGAAGAGATACATGTAGACTGAACCAAACAATTCATCTCTCTGTCAGTTGTCTTGAGGATGGCTCATTATCGTGGGTGAGAATCACGACGACATTATAGACAAACGTAAATGCAGACTAACACAGTATGCTGGTTTCGATAAACAATGGGAAAAGAAAACTAAAGTGACAGCGAATAATAACAACATTAGACAAATATTTAGGTTGATTAGAGACTAATATTTAAAGAACTAAGGGATGCCATGACTATAACTGAGGACGGACTAGTAAGTCACTGACATGGATTGCGATTAAAAACAGTGTCTTCAAAAGTTTAACAACAGTTTAACCAGCATATAGTGACTATATAACTGCCCGTTTCCTGATCGAAGCCTAAACGAGAGATTGTGAAACAATCCATAAAGCTTCGTAGTGATTGGGAAATTTTCGAATCCTGTCGAAAGATCTAATAGATCAATGAGGTCTAATATTAGTAAAATAGGATCATTAACTAAATCCACCAAGATTTTATTTGAATTACGAAATTCAAATATGACCCTCCATGGAAGGTTCCAGTCACTGATTTGCCAGACTTGAGAAATAATGAATTCTTCTTGTGATTATCCCAAAGAAATTAACTCCATCAATAACACAAACAACTGTAGTTGATTCACAGTCACTAGCTATTTGCAGCGACTGGTACTTCTCAACACCGTTTACCAACTTTATAGCACATGTCTAGGAGGATCTCCATTTTATTTTCGAAATGACAATTTTTTTAAAATATGAAGACGATATATTTCTACTAGGCAAAGTCACTGCAAACATTCACCATTTCCTTATAACTTTAATTGGCAATCTAAAAATAATCTGATATGTTTCTCTTAACTTCCTACTATAAATCGTAACTTCGGGATTGATGGCATTCATATCCAGTTTGATTATTCAGACAAAAATTCTGGATCATATGAAACATTTCATTAACTTATGAAGTCCCCATGAAACAGGATTCGATGGTAGTGCTTGCTGTACAGCTGTAAAACATAGATGGAGGAACCATTTAGACTTTTGGAACTCAAACATCTTTCCACCATGGCATTTCTTGTGTTAACAGGAATCACTACAAGAGAAACATAGAAGTGTGGCACATAGTTTCAGGTGAAATAGATAAACTAATCTAAAGGAATTTCCATGTGACCTAATCCTATTAAATGGTTGTTGCACCTAATATGTTGGTTGCTGAAGACCATACAAATTCAATGATCACCACGTGATGAAATACCCGTAATCCTCGTTTTTAATTATCATTTACAAATTATCCAATAAAATATCATAAATTTTGATTGGATGGCAGTACGACGGTATAGTTATGAGTAGATAAAGAGTTGGTTAGACAAATCAGCATCATACAAATAACAAGTTATTTGAAAAAACATTGAATATATCTCATTAAGGCATCATGTGAATTCTGCTTGTAAAAGCTCCCAAAAATAAATAACATTATCATGCATGGAATCGACAGCAGAGAAAAACAGCTTTAGCATATTTATCTAAACCAAGTTCACAATCAATGGTTTGGACAAATAGAGATGTTAGGCAATACGATATCTATTATGTTGAAAGTTTTTGAAATTCCTAGTGAATAAAAATCAAAACAACTTTGTTTTCGTTGAAGTTTCACAATGTTATGCTAATAACTTTATCAAAGTGATAATAGGTCAGAATTTATTAAATCTCAGCTTATACACAGTAGCTTAATCACATTTGTTCAGTGTGAGGTGATGTTTCTCGTGCTGAAAAGTAGGTGAATTCGTAAAGAAATCGAATCATATGCAGATTTAAGTATTGTTTTGTGAAGATTTGATTGGTTACAGGATTTTATCATGAGCTGACATTCGTTAGAGAACCATTGGAAAACCTGGGAGTACTGGACAGCTGTTTCATCCTAGTTTGGGGCTCTTCATCAGTACGCACCAACCGCCAGGGTTCGAACCCAGGAACTTCTGGTTACAAGATGAGCTCGAGCCTAGACGCTTAATGGTATACGAGCTTGCCTTGTAACCAGAAGGTACTGGGTTCGAACCCTGGCGGTTGGTGCGTACTGATGAAGAGCCCCAAACTAGGACGAAACAGCTGTCCAGTACTCCCAGGTTTTTTAGTGGTTCTCTAACATACGCAGTTTGTTGGATTTGGTAAGTGTATGGAACTGCAAAGAAAACAGCACGTGATTACATAGGAAAATTCGTTTCCGCATAGAGGATAACTGTCATTTACCATCTTTCCAAATATTTATCTTCAGTACTGAAACTACTTCGGAATGATATTCAACGCGCTATTTAAGATCATTGTGATTTCGATTCCGAAATGGGAAACTAGGAAGTTGATATAAAGGACTTTATAATCAGTTATAATTAATAAATCACTGTATAGTGGCACTCGCGTTACCGAAAGTCTTAGTATTTTTCTCAAGAAAAACAATAACTTAAAGAATCCCACTAAACAAAATCATCACCAACATTAAACATGGCTGAAAACATACTCCGAAGGCATAGGTCTGAATGCTTATCACTTCATGTAGATCACGTTCGTCAGAAGATATCAGAAAACTACCCAATAAGTGCAACATTAGAGTTTTCTGTAGTATAACAGACACGCTAAAAACAATCTTGTTCATGTGAAAGACTGAATTCCAAAGGATTAACAATCTAATTCTGTCTATGAAATAAAATGCTTATAATGTGATGAGATATACATCGAATTAACCGCTTGAGAAATCAAGATCAGAAAGCATGAATACCGTAGAGCCTACATTTAACCACTAAGAAATCCAATGAAACTAGGAAAGCTGGAAAAATCACCAGCCATAGGTACAGAATCAGGCCACAACAATGATTTTGGAAGTACTTAAGTCATCCAGAAAAATTTAAAAAGTCACATAGAGCCTCATGTATCATAGGTACTTTATATTAAATAGGATCCAAACTGTCTGAACAGGAATGACAGATTAGGACAGAATTTGACCTACTTCCAACACCCCCTCTATGGAGTGACAAAGTCAAGCCAAATATGATAAGGGATTTCATTATATAAACACACGTTACTTTTTTACAAATCAAATAATTTGCACATGATTTTCTATCTCTACCAATTCACCTAATTTACAGCTTGTTACCTCATGCTGATTAACTTACTGTTTATGACCTGAAATTAATTAAATTGTGGTATTTTATCATTTTGGTAAAGCTATTAGCATTAAACAGTGAAATGTCAGCGAAAACACGATTGTTTTGTTTTTTTCATTCACTGGGAATTTCAAAATTTTTGGGATAATAAGAACAGTTCTAAAATCCTCATAAAAACAAATGTACCAAGTTTGTTTCAGAAAAGCAAACACACTGACATGTTGAATTGAGGAAGCGCTTAAAGTCAGAAAATTTAATAACAACTTACCTTGAGTAACCAGGAAGTTGAAGGTCGCACCTGTCACTGGTATTTTTTGAATGAACTTCAGAGTTAGTAGGGATATCTGATTTTCACGAAGATGAACAAGCAAATATTATATTATGATTTTTCTTTTGGGTTCCGAGTGGCACATACTACTTCAACAGCACATCTCCATTTTATTGTGTTTTCTGCTCTCCTATTAAGCTGGCGCTGCGACTGCCTGTCGTCTCTTCGCCTGACTTGCTCCGTGTCACCTACCGACCCCCAACTCACCGTTTCCTATTCGGGTTCCACTCAAGCAATCACGGCACCATTCGATGACTTCCAAAGCGTGTGCCCAATCCATTCCCATTTTCCTTTGCATATTTTTTGAGCAACAAGTTCTTGGTCGGCTTTCTTTCAGAGTTTCTTGCTGCCATTTCTCTCTGGCTACCTGAAATTCAGTGTGGACCGAAGGCAGCCATTTACAAGGGCTTTCAGTCTGCCGGAGATGCTTTCGGTGACACACTAAGCCTTTGACCCATTTATAACTGACTGACTCAATATTTGTGTTGATAATCCGGATATTGTTCTTTGTGCTGGATGCTGAAGATTTTCACACTGATTTCAGAGTAATGAAAGTCTGTCTTGCTTTTCCAATTATGCTTTCGACATTTTCATCCGTGCCGAATGCCTGTGATTGAAATGACGCTGTTTAGATAAGTGAAATAAGGGGATCTCCTTAGTTATTCCCCGTTGGTAGTGATCGGTGCTTGTTGTGGTTGGTTGGAGGTCTTTGCTGCTTCTTCTACCAGTTACCTGGTTTTTACCAATAAGTCATCGGTTCTCTGTGACATTAGGCATAAATCACCCCCGAAATCCAGATCTTCAAAAGTCGTCCTTTCAGTCCAGGGTATTCCTGTCGTCTTGCTCTGTAGTCTGACGTATAATTCAGCAAACCACAGTCAGGAATATTGTCTGTGACAATGGACAACTCTGTCATATTTCTATCTTCACTTCGCTGAGTTTTCTGTTGTGGGTAACCTGACACATGCTATTGACATATAACCCGTGAATGAGGTTGATAAAGATTTGGCGCATGCCATAGTATTGAAATCATATCCAAATTACTAATCGATTAACGTCGTCACAGGCTTTTTCGAAGTCGATGAAGTTGAGGTAAAGAGAGGTTTGACTGCCATTCTATGCTTTCTTCGATTGTGATGCGTAGAGTTGCAATTTAATCAGCACATCATTTACCTTTCCTGAATTCAGCTTAATCGGAGTGAAGTTCTTCATCCAGTACATCTTCTATGCTCTTAGTATTTTGTTTGGTGTGGACAAGAGCATGATTCCACGCCATTTCTTGCAGTGGTGCGATCCTACCTCCTTCGGTAATTTGTCAGGGTAGCCTTTCTTTTAATCAGTAGGTACCATTTCTTCCTCCCAAACTATTCACAATAGTGGCTTTAGCATATCCACTGCGATTTCTGGGTCCGTTTTCAATGCTTCAATGGGAGTTCCGTCCGATCCTGTCGCCTTCCCGGATTTCAGTAGCATTGAAGACTTCTGCTTTAGTTGGAGGATTGGTGCCCAGTGGCGATCCTGTGGCCGTTGGTGGCATATTTGACGAGTCTTAGTGGAAGCAGATACACTAGTACTTCGTTTTAACAAGTTAAATTCATCAAAGCAAACTGAGATTGCAGAATGTGTAAACTATAAATTTTGAGAAATAAAAGCTGTACTTACAAACCATGAGTAATTCGAACGAATAAAAGTATACATAATTATACAACACCGTTAAGTGTCGATTTTTTTTGACTGTAAACATAATGGCTCGTACGTTTGGGACTATATACCTCTATTTATGTGATCACTTAACCTTTTAATGTGTCGCTCACAGTAACAATTATTACTGTGATGATGATGACATTAGCATATATAAAAGTAAAATAAGAAACATTATTTTGATTAACTGTCTCTTGATTGGTATTTAGGAAGTAGAAAATTTAGTTTACTAAAGGCCGTTAAATAAATGATCGGTTTATACTATCTGACAGTATACAGATGTCTGTCTGGATTCGACACAGAACTTGGCACCGAAGTGCACCAGTTCGAGTTGCCACGTTCCAAATAGCACACAGAGGTAGACAAGAAGATGAGTGAAGAGAATCAATACAGTCTGACAAGTATAAGAGTGAAACAGAATGGGTAATGGTAGAAAGGAATATGAAAGATTACAGAGACTGAATACATCTGCGCTGGCCATTGACAACGATTTTGAGCCATGTCACCTATTGTCTCCAGCCATTGATTCCTAGAGTCCCGAGGGCCCCAACCCGGAAGTCTGCATCTCCTTACCTGACTCAGTTTAACTGTCAAGGATTTCATGGATTGATGAGGTCATGTTTTTGTTTGGCCACCACTTACTCTTTTCCAACCTGCACATATATCAGCTAGTAATGCCCGTCGGGGGAGGCGATGGTTAGGCATGCGCAGCACCCGACCTAGCCATCTCAGTCTATGTAACTTTATAGCCTCATCGATTGATTTTCCCTCTTTGCCCAACACTCTACGCCTAACGTCAACATTACTTACCTTATTAAACCACCTAACGTGAGGCAGAGATCGCAGACATCTATGATCGAAAGCAGTCAACTTTTTCATGTCTTCAACGCGTATTGGCCATGTTTCAGAGCCATAGACAAGGACGAAGCGAACTGCTGAGCAGTACACACGTCCCTTGGTTGATAGCCGAATGTCACGCCTACGCCAGAGATGGTGTAAGTCAGCGAAAGCAGCTCGATAGATATATCCATTCAATTAAATTTTTGTCATAAAAAAAATGAATAAAATTAATTTGATATACTCCAGAAAATGTCATTTATGAAAGCATAATTCTTACCCGCAAGTAATCCAACAGCTACGCATATAATTAAAACTGACGCAATGAACAATGTACACAGAATATCCAAACGAACGGATAGCCAAAGTGCAGCAGCCAAGTTGACATAGAAAACACTAGTATGACTGTTTACTGCATCATAAAATGTATCTAAGTGATAGAATTCATTTCTTGCAGCTCTTAAACAGGGTAAACCTTGTAATGTAACATTCACCCAAGAGAACACTGGACTTCGGGCTAGAAGTAATAAAAAATAGAAAGTTGTTTTAAAAAGTGTTTTCATACTTCATCGTGTGTGTATTTGTGCTAAATAGAATACCACTGTGACATCATGCAGATTCATAGAAAGCGGCCAAAACTGAAATCAACATTTTAAGTCGATACCTAAAGAGGTACAGAAATGTTCATTCCTCAAATCTGGATTTAGTTTACGTTGTGGACAAGAAATAATCTCATTGGTCGACTTGTGAAACCCTGAGCCAACTGCCAACCAATTAGAACAATCTATTCTCCTCTGACCCAGTCGAACTTTAATGTGGCAAATAATGTATAAATGTGATGTGTTTTTACTCCGTAAGAGTCTGTAACCAACTCTCTTATCTTCTGCCGTTATTCCACTTCGGCCAATAAAACAAAGTCTTTTTTCGTTTCTCATAACAGTGTTGTTTATCCTACACAGTACACAGTTAAATATGATATGTTTGCTAATATTTACTAAAATTTTTAACACAAGGAATTGCAGGTGAAAAATTTTTTTGGAAAGTTTAGCTTTCTTATGAAATCATATTTAAACTTATTACACCCTATATTGCATTGTTTTACCTTCTTTTGCTGGATCCACTATGTTTGCATTGCATCATTAATTAAAAGGTAATCGACACAACTTTTCACACTTACATTTCAACAATGACAATCTATTTTTTATATTAACCTTTAACTTCATAACGCTGTTTTCTTGTAACAGCAAGAGTAGCTGACTTGATCTACAGTCAACAAAGATTAGTAATGTAGTCTAGCAAATCCTTTTAGGAGACATTTCAACCATTATGATATTTTGGATACCACTAGCTGCGTCTAAAATGCTGATTGCTGCCATGCCTTTTAAACACTGCAGAACACATTTAAAAACATAGAAAACAACTCAAAGAATTAAGAGACAATAAAGATTTAATAATAACACGTCCTGACAAAGGATCAGGAGTGGTCCTAATGGACAGAGATGTATATATTAACAAACTGACAACACTTATATCAGATGACAAGAAATTTGCCAAGCCCGACAATGAGAAAAACAAGACAGAACTGATTGAAAGACAACTAACAGATGTTCTCAGAAGAATGAAGAACGATCGTCTGATATCTGAGGACCTGTTCGACCGCCTCAAACCGACAGGATCAACTATTCCCCGACTCTACGGCTTACCAAAGGTGCACAAACCTGGCTTGCCGCTTCGACCGATTCTAGACATGTCAGGGTCACCATACCATCCAATCGCCAAATGGTTGTCCGAAATGTTGGAGCCGGTAAGACAACACCTATGCAAATACTCTCTTCGTGATACTTTTGAGTTCATCGAATGCATAAAAGATTTGAATGTAAATGATAAACGAATGCTATCACTAGATGTTGAATCTCTTTTTACCAACGTGCCACTAACAGAAACAATTTGCTTTCTGTGCAATTATATGGAGAAATCTAATATAAACGTCGGAGTACCAATATCATATCTGAAGGAATTGTTGCTGAGATGCACGCTGAATGTACAATTCACCTTCAACGGCGACATCTACAGACAGAAAGATGGAATTGCAATGGGATCTCCTCTTGGCCCGCTTTTAGCAGACTGCTTTATGGCCAGTTTGGAGAGTGGAGTTTTAAAATCAACAATAAACAAATTAATACTATACAAAAGGTACGTTGACGATACCTTTATAGTCTGCTACGAGAACTCGGACTTCAACTGCATCTTACAAGAATTCAATAATTCCCATCCTTCGATTAAATTCACAATGGAGTTAGAAAGCGATTCAAAGATTCCATTTCTGGACGTGGAATTGACAAGAAGAGATGATGGAACCCTGAAGAGGTCCATCCACAGAAAACCGACATGGAATGGCCAACTAACGCATTTCTATAGTTGGATACCTCTGAGCCGAAAACGAGCCCTCATCAGCGCACTAACCCATCGCGTTAGAAAAATCTGCAGCAACGATTGCATGGAAGAGGAGCTCCTATTCCTCAAAAATATCCTGGCTCAAAATGGCTACCCGACACGTTTTGTCGAAAAGAACATGAAACCTAAACCTAAAAGAGAAGAATGCGATTCAGCGCCAAAGAAAACGCTGTATCTAAATCTGAATTTCAAGGGAGATTTGGCAGCTGATATCCTGAAGAGGAGAATATCCAGCTCTTTAAAGAAGACCTTCCCTGCAGCAACACTAAGAGTGACATTCTCTAGCCGCCCAATACTTCGAAACAACACGAAGGACAAACTTTCGCATATGACCAATTCAATGTGCATATACCAGTTCACTTGCTCGTGCGGAGCTAGGTACATAGGTCGTTGTATGCGCGTCCTCTCAAAACGTGTTAGAGAACACTACCCAGCGTGGCTGCAAAGAGGAGGCACCGGTTCAATCAGAAGTGCCATTATTGAACATCTGGTCAACACCTCCCACAAAATCTCAACCGATTCTTTCAAAGTGATCTACAAAGTCAACAGAAACCTACCAAAAGCAATATGTTTCCGACTTCTTTGTACTGCAGAAGCCCTCGCAATATGCATCGAGAAGCCGGAGCTGTGTGTTCAAAAGAAGTTAGTCCAACCTCTACAACTACCATGGACCTAGCTTGGTATGTTCCCTTTGTTTCCGTCTTTTTTTCTCTTCCTCGTCTGTTTTCGTTCTCGTTTTTTCCTTTAGAGCATTTTTCGTTCGCTGTGTGTCTGATTCTTAGTCCCTCAATCTTCGTTTAATCCACCTAATTTTTTTTCAGCTATAAAAACAGTTATTTTAAGTTTGTTTCCATGCTTTTCCCTGTTCACATTTATAATTCGTTTGAAATAACTATTTTACAATTATATCTTAATCCTGTGCAATTTTTGTGTTTCTAAGGCTTTTGTAATCTATATTCACACGTCCTAACTTTCATTTCAGGCTCAAATTATTTTTTCAGTCATAAAACTAGTTATTTTAATTTTGTTTCCATGCTCCTCCTGATCACACTTGTAATCCGTTTAGAATAACCATTTTACAATTATATTCTAATCCTGTGTAATTTTTGTTTCTATGCCTCTTGTAATCTATATTCATACCTCCTAACTAACATTTCAAGTTGAAAATTTTGATTTCAATTTGTTTCCATGCTCATTTTGTTCACACCTGTAGTTCGTCCTATCCCTGCGTTTCTAAACCTCTTGTAATTCATATCAAGTCGAAAATAATTATCACCTTCGATTCGCCTTTAAAATTATTTCTCCAGTTATCAAATATTAATTTTTTTGCATACGTTGTAACTATTTTCTAATCCTATGAAATCTTGTCTCTAAGCCCATTGTAATCTATATTCGTACCTTCAAACTATCATATCAAGTTGAAAATTATTATCACCTTCGTTACTATGTGAAATTAAACAAATAATAATTGTATCCATGTAAAATAATCTACATTAATTATGTGTCCACCCTCATCTAACTTTTATAACAAAGTTATACGTGTGGCAGACAGACAATAGTATTTCTTTATACCAAGGTGCTACCCATCCATATTTTTTCCTAGGAAGTTGATCTTCTTGTTATGTGGTTTAATGGAAATCAATTAAATCAGAATAGAGACATGCAACCTAATAACTACTGTTTTTTCAAATAGCAATGGGACAATATGCAGGTAAGTGTGGGTTACGATAGCGCGTTTTGGGATACAGGGGAGACGACCTTTTAATAATTGATTTTGTTTTGAAACACTGGATCTGATAACTTGGATAGGTATAAGCAATGTCAATATTGGCTGTCCCTGAGACTAGTTAAAGAAGAGTGAACAGGTGGTCGGTTAAAAATGATGCTTTTAAGGGAGTAGCAGCATACTGCTGTGCCAGCTCTTGCAGGAGCTTTCGCGGAAAATATATTTTCTGCATTCCACACCTCCTGCAGTAGTATTTAGAGTATACCTCCCAAGGTCTACAGGTCCTCTTTCGGTGTTCATGATCCTTTTGCTTTCCCAGCTGCCTTCTATCAACTTTGTGACCCTGGCTTTTGTCGGAGGGTTGTTATTCACTGGTGTGGTGGTATTTCTGGACAACTCTCAGGTGTGAGTTGATTCGGGAATCTTTTGAAGTGATCAACTCAACTTTTCCTCTTTTCCGCCTCTTTAGTAATTGTGTTTCCTCTACTATTGTTCAGTGGTATTTTACTATGATAACCTCAGACATATTTTGTAGAAAAGTGAAACTATGTTAGTTAAAACGAAAGAAGATCCATTATACATGTATTGATGAACAGGTGTTCTGTATTCTAAAAAAGAAATAATTTCAAGGTTTGATAAATCATATAATTTTTCATGAGTGATTGTTCACTAGCCATGATGTAAAACAGTTGTGTAGTGTCCGTTAAGTTTGGTTATGTTGATCAAGTAACGATTGCATTCATTATTCAATACAATAAATTCAGTGCGCACAAGAAATTTACTTTACTAACAAGTATGGTCGAGATTAACTTGTAGATTTTTAACTTTATTGTGACGCGTAGGAATCACCCAGAGCTTAACACACTGGCATCGTGATTTTGGGTAGCTGAAGTTGGTGACCATATTCATAAGTTGGTTGGTGGAATACAGTTAGTACTGAAGACATTGATTGGTTGTTGTAAGTATTGTGATCTCACAGATGGGTATACTACACACTTTTGGTGACTTGCACGTAGAACGTTTATAATAAGACGATTTATTTTCAAAATTCTCCTCTCCTGGGACATACTGTGGTTACTGAAGTATTCTTGTTTACCTCCCGTGCCATTCTTTTATATAACGCACTACCTTGATTTAATGCTCTACTATTCATGGTCCCAGGTTTAATTATTCCTTTAGAAAAGATTTAGTTATTGTCACTGTTTTGAAAACTGGGATAAATTCATGTTGTAAAACTTTACCACTCACCTACTGCTTCAATTCGTCGTATATCTCTTGACATATGAATATAACGTTTACGTATGAGCCAGAAGAAAATAAAAAGTGGTACAACTGGTATGATAACCCAATAACTAGTTATTATTGTTACAACACTAAAATTGATAACAAGGGTAAGACACTACAGTGCAAAACGAAAAAGAGAGAGAAAATCATTAGAAAATTTCTCAGTGTAGTGCTATAACAAGAGTTTAAAAGTTAGTCCAAGTAATGTACACTGGTAACCTCCAGTGAAATTTATATTACCTTGATTCATTTATGGTAAAGTTCAATGAGTGTGTGATAAAAATGAAGTAGGAGAATTCAGTCAGAACGAACCAATAAAGTTAAAACAATCCGGTAGGAAACATTATTGGCGGTTTTGTGATGATGGGTAGTGAATTAACTGTCATAATGTTAGAATAATAACAGTGACGATGGGTTGCAATGGATCGTCCTACACATTTCACAAAATGCTAATTTATATACGAATAAATAACTGTCTTTCAAATTTCGTACCATTATTATCATTTTGTGATATCATGTCTTTATTATCCATTTCTCCACCCAGTTTACTCCACCACATTGTTACCCTTAATTTTTGTCAACCTTTATGATTTTATACTCAGCCTACCAATTCTGTAACATCTTACTACAATTTACAATTTAGCCTCTTTATTTTAACATTAGACATTATCGGTCAGCCCTTATATTCAGTGTCCCCTTTGTTAATGTGTATTTGTATGTGTTTTGTGGTTATCGCATTTCTCTCACCCCAATGACACTTGTATTCTATTAACTATAAAACAACACTCACTATATCACCCAATTGTTCATTCACACTTCATCACATTTTTTCTGACCATACACCCTATACACATTTGATTAACTATGTTAACTAATGGACTATCATCTCAACTTACACATGCGGCCCAATACAGTTTCTGATATTATTTTCATTTGCCTTTATTGGCTATATGTACTCTATTATTCATGGATTTATAACTGTAGAAGAAGCCTGAAGAAGAAGTTATCGAAAACAATTGTTCGCTCATAATCCTGTTTTGAAAACACTAAAAGTTCCATTAGCATCCTAACAAGTGAACTTAAGCGTCATTAAGTAGTGTTTCACAATACATGATCAATTGGCTTGACAGTCTCCTGCCTTCTTAATCTGCAGCAAAGGTATAAATGATTGAAGTATTTTACGAAACAATGGGGCATTCACCTTGATTTTACTTATACTTTTTTATTTTTTTATTTTTGTTTATTTTTGATTACAGCTTGATTTCATACCTTATTTTTGGTACAAGCATGGAATTTTCAACATGGATATCGGTAGCCCACATTTCGCAGGCCGACCACTGATATCAGGTGTGCGTCAGCAGGGGGATGGAACCTCGGACCATATGCATAGTCGGCGAGAGTCCTAACCACTGTGCCACCGACGCACATATGCTTCGATTCAGTTTAGAAATGAATTAGATTCAAAAATGGGATTGATGGTCGATACTGTTTCATGAAACTTTCAACCCTAGTTGTTTACGTTATCATCAAAATTTGAACACGTTATACTGCTGTAGTCTGCATCACCATTCGAAACTGTGCCTTAAAGACAACATCTATAATTCAGGGAAAATATCACCTAGTTGATCACCTCAGAGGTGAGAGAGAGAGAGACAGGTGATCGAGTGTCAAACTATTTTGAAAAATAACAGTTTTACTCCATAAGTTAGAACTTGTAAATTTGTTTTTCATGCCAAAGTATATCACATTTTCACAGAACTTAGACTATGGTCATTATATTTCAAAGTACGTAAATATTTAATACAAAAATATTCCCATATACATGGAAGTAAGTGATAATACTTTAATTCACAAAAGTTGAAAACAAAACACCTAGATTTTACTATCTATTTTTTTGATTACAGCTTGATTCCACACTGTATTTTTGGTACAAGTGTGGAATTTTCAGCGTGGATATCGGTAGCCCAAAATTCGCAGGCCGACCATAGATATCAGGTGTGCGTCGGCGTGGGCTCGAACCCCGGACCATGTGCATGGTCGGCGAGAATCCTAACCACTGTGCCACCGACGCACATCCCAAAAATTATGACATTATGACCTTTGGATATTGCTGGCAGATTTGCAATTTAATAATTACTCAGTACAACCTAGTTATAAGCAACAGGCTATGATCTAAACCTGATTTACAACGACCTATGATACGCTTAGATTTCCTTGGGTAAATAAGAGAGACTATGAGGCAGTACTTAGAGACATTTTAAACAGTCTAATTTGGTCTGTATGCCGAAGTCTTTATTAACCAAAGTGAAGGATTCCATCCCCGACTAACGCACTCATTTATCTCGCTTTTCCGGCAGTGAGGCCGGCAAACAGGGAAGGTTAAGTATTAGGCTAGCCACTCCATCTTGTAAAACAACACTACTGCTCGTGAAAATTCAAAGCATAAGCTTGAAGCTTTATGTTCCACTTGGAATGCAAAGGAATAGAAATATAAAACAACAAAGTTTACGTTAATCAAAGTGATATTTCTATAAATAAGGATTTCATACTACTGGAAAATGAAAAGCGAAAGATTATGATGGGCATTCAGGCTATCCTTGAGCATACGTAGGTACATGTTGTCGAAAAACACCATGCCACAAATAATGAATAAAAACAAAATAAAAATTCTCTTACTTGCAGGAAATCATGAATATTAGTTGGTAAATAATCATCTATCTGTCCAATATCTTTCGAAAATCTGTTCAATATTCGTCCTATAGTTTATTTAATAAAAATATATATTAAAATTACTATTTAACAAAAGTGTACAGCTGGCTTTATGAAATATTTCTGTAAATTTAGAAACCATGTAAGAAATCCGTAAGGCTATATTTTAAACAAGCGTCGGTGGCATAGCGGTTAGGACGCTCACCGACCATGCATATGGTCCACGGTTCGATCCCGGGCCGACGCACTCCTAAACCTCGCTAAGCCAGAAATAAAATAGCAGGTAAAGAAAAAAAGGTTGGGCATGGGGCTAGCAACCCCATCCTGTAAAAATAAATAAATATAACCGCTACCGAAACTTCAAGTTTCTAGCTTGAAGCCCTATGTTCCACTGGGAATGTGAAGGAATAAAAAACATATTTCAAACAAAACAACATCAACACAAGGAGTTGGATCAAATGAATTTATTTTGTGTCTTCGGTGTGTTATCAACTGCTTATAATCAGCTGAATACAATGTAGCTGGATGCAAGCTACAATACACTGAACAAAAGAGTGAAGAAAAGTGCCAGGGAAGACAAAAGAAAATATTATGAAACCATGGAAAACGAAGCAGAACAAGCTGCAGGCAAAGGAGACCTCGCCACACTCTACCAAACAACTAGGAACCTTTCGGGCAAACGTTCGACACAGATTAAGCCAATAAGGGACGACAATGGAAAGTCAATCACCAAAGAGGTGGAACAGAGAAAGCACTGGGTTGAACACCTCAAAAGACTTCTAAATCGTCCGCCACCTACAACACGTCCAGCAATACTAACAACGGAAGCAGAACTACCAGTGAACACTGACCCCCGACGAAATCAGAAGTCCTGAATGCAATCAAGATGCTTAAAGCTGGGAAATCACCGGGACTAGATGGAATCCCAGCAGAGGCTTTGAAAATAGACCCAGAGACAACAGCGGACTTGATGACACCACTGCTGGAGAAGGTGTGGAAAGAGGGCAAAGTACCCGAGGATTGGAAGAACAGTTACTTATTCAAACTTCCAAAGAAAGGAGACTTAAGTCAATGTAAAAACTGGCGTGGAATTATGCTCCTGTCCATTCCAAGCAAGATCCTAAGTCGCATCATCCTGGCGAGAATCAAACAAGCCGACCTGGATGAAAAACTTCTACCGGAACAGGCCGGATTCAGGAGAAACAAATCATGTATTGATCAAATCGCCACTCTACGGATCATCATTGAACAAAGCTTGGAATGGCAGTCACCTCTCTATCTCAACTTCATCGACTTTGAAAAGGCCTTCGACAGCGTCGATCGAGAGGTCATTTGGAAACTACTTCGCTACTACGGGGTCCCATCGACAATTATACACCTCATCCAACAGTTATACGACAATGCTGCATGCCAAGTAATCCACAACGGGAAACTTACGGAAGCCTTTGAAGTGAGGACGGGAGTGAGGCAAGGCTGTCTACTATCACCAATGATCTTCCTGATTGCAATTGAAGTCAGTGCTACTATACGGATCAGAGACTTGGTGAGTCATAAAGAGCATCTCAAACAAACTTCAAACCTTCATTAACAACTGTCTCCGCTCAATACTCAAGATCAGATGGCCAGAAAAGATCAGCAACAGGGATCTCTGGGAGCGAACCAATTAGGAACCGATTGTGAAGCAAATAGGCAGAAAGAAATGGAGATGGATTGGCCATACGCTGAGGAAACCATCAAGTGACATCACTAGACAAGCCCTCGAGTGGAACCCGAAAGGGAGGCGGCGAGTTGGTCGTCAGTGCAAGGGTGACTTGGAGGAGGTCATGCGAGGAGGAGATGAAAGCATGTGGACAGACCTGGAGCAGGGTGAAAAAGTTGTCAGAAAACCGAAGTCAGTGGAGGTGCGCAGCTGAAGCCCTATGTTCCTCTAGGAACTAAAGGATACAATAATAATAATAATACAATCAGAATGATGTAGGACAATAGGTGTATTATAATTTTGACATAATTTAGTTCATTGGTGACGAAATATTGAACGAAACTTAAGAATGGCAGCCTGCTTGATTCACTAGGCTAACTGAGTTTTCATCCTTTTAGAATGCATACAGTTTTCTCTATTATTCTTTGCGTTAACTATCCATTTGTGTATAAGCGTAGTCAAAAGTATTCACAAACATTTTTTTTAATTGGTTTTCAGCCTACTACTAAGCATATTTCAGAGACGAAAGAAAAAATACCACAGGGGGGATTATTTCATTCTTCAGATCGGACAGTATTTCATTATTCTATGTACCTTAGATTTCTAATGTACTTGGTGTTGGGTGAAGAGAGAATATTATGCAATAAACTAGGCTGGAAGTTCTTTTTGTATTGTAAACGTTTTGTGCAGAATAAAGCTGTTAGTATTTATATTATTTTGATTCCATTACTTATGATCACAGTGTATAGATGAGTCGAAATATTAACTTAGCAAAATATATCACGTTAAAATGTTATTGTCTTCATCTATGCAATGAGATTGAAGTCCGTGGGATAAAAAACAGCAGGGAGCAAGGGTAGGAATATTACACTGAGGTACGTAACTAGCAAGATTACGCAATAAATAAGCAAAATATATAAGAGAAATACTGTGAGTATAGTTAATTTAGTCACATAACAGACATAGGACGTTCAGTATGAATGATGCAACAAGTTGTGTGTGAGAAGAAATCAACATCTACGCTGAATGATGACATAAGTAATTAAAATTCTAAGAAGAGTAACCAAGGTAGAGAAAGGCTTTCCACACTTGTTTTTTCCGAATATTTAAGTGTGCTTCTAGTCGACTGATAGCGATAACGTCTAAGAATTTCAGGAGACTTGAACTTGTTTCTATTGTTTGGTTTGTAAGGATTAGTTATGTTTTACGGGTTGATCACGGATTGATATCAGTTAGAGAACCATTGAATGGTATACGAGCTTGCCTTGTAACCGGAAGGTCACGGGTTCGAATCCCAGTGGGTGCGTACTGCCGATGATTCCCAAACTAGGATGAAACAGCAGCTGTCCAGTACTCCCTGGTTTTCAATGGTTCTCTAACTGATATCAATCCGTGATCAACCCGTTGAACTTGTTTGTTTATTATGCTGAAAGAATTCAAGACATTACTTTGATTCATCTATACAGAATGTTTATTCTGAATTATTCTTCGAATTCTTATCACCAATGAACTAAAGTGTGTTGAAACTCCAATATAACTGTTAATTTTCATCATTTAAGTTGGATATATAGTTGACAAGATACCGAATGATGAGACTCAATGGATCCACTTAATCCTGATCCGTATGTTTTTATTACTTTGTTCGAACTCACTGAGGGTAATTTGTGTAAAAAGTTTACTTAAAAAGTGGCCAGCATTTTGTTGTAGTTAAGGCATTCTTCTAAACATTTACGCTACAATGAGCAGCTTCGTCATTTACCACCATATTTTGTGTACAAGTCAATTCACTAGCTTTTCTTTCCCAAGACTATATTTCCAATCACATGATTTCCCTTAATTTGTAGAAAACAAACATACATCTAATAATCAGAATTAAACTTCATTTGTTACAGATTCAAGTTCAAAAAAAGGGATTGAAAAATCATAGTGATTAGATCAGATACAGCGTTATTAATATCTAGGCTTTGTTAGGATTTTGATTAATTCTATGTAAGTTTAATTAGTTTCCATTGATTCGGTTACTGTCGTAGAACTTTTTGAAACAGAATCAACATTAAAATCTAATTAACCATTTATGCATGTATACCTTTGCACTTTGTCTCGTAAATGAATTACATAAGCCTTATGTTTAGAGGTTTCAAGAGAACTGGTGACCATACAACTAAGTATTCTAAGAATATTAACGTCTTTGCAAAGCTTTGGAGTGACTAGTTTTACTAATCAACGTTATTCAACAAAGACCTAAATGATGAAATAAAACAGATAGAAGAAGCGTTGGTTTTGAATAACTATCCTATAAAATTCATTAGGAAGATCAGCAAAAACCAAAAGCAAAATAAAAATAATGGTGAAACTATTAATGATAACAGAAATAAGAAAGAATATAAGTCATCCACTGTTATACCATATAAGGAAAGGACATCTGAGGCCCTACGTATGATTCTTAATAAAGCAGGAATTAGGGTGGCATTCAAACCTACAAACTCACTCAGAGACAAGCTCTGTAGGCTGAAAGACCCGGTGGATCCAATTAAACAAAAAATTATAATTTACAAAATACCCTGCAATAACTGTGAGGTGAACTACATAGGTCAAACTAGTAGGTCAGGGATAGTCAGATTAACAGAACATAAGAATTTAGTTAAGGTAAGAATGGTTGACCCTGAGAAGATGAGTAATTTAGAAAAAATCCCAGCTATTGCACTTCATGCAATAACAAACAACCACACAATAGGGTGGGATAGGGTTAAAATTCTAAAAAGTAATCTAGGTAGGTGGAGAGAGAGGTTGATTACGGAATCCTTATTTATCGAGTCTACACCCAACACATGCAGCAAAAATGACTCAATGCAAATACCAGAGATATGGAAGATATTATTACTGCAGGTCAAATCAGAAGAGGGTAATAAATAATATGAAAATTCTATTTCGATTCAAACACATCACAACATCCTAACAAAATACTTATTATGACTATTAAAACACTCGTCGTATCTTCCATCTGATTATAGTAGATCAATAACACTCGTATTATTGCCATCAGTCAAACTAGAAGAAGATAATAAATAATCTTAAAATTCTATTTCATTTCAAACACATTCTAACAAGCAGCTTATTGTGACTGTAAAAACACTCGTCCAATTTTCCCATCTAATTGCAATTGATCAACAACACTCGTACGATTATTTCTGAATGTACATTATCTCACATTGATTTTTAATCCAATATCTAATCCATTCCACACATGTATATAAATGAGAGATCAAAGTTGTGTGAGTAACTTGATATGATTATGAGCAATAGTTTGTGCTCGAAACGTCATCAGTTCATATGACTGTAAACACTGTGCGATTTATCAAAATCAAATCTTATCTATAATGGAATTATACTCTACCACAGTGCCCAAGTTTTATACTTATATCAAGTCTGTAGCATATTTCACAGCAAGTTACGTAACACAAAATTCAACTGAAAAACGACTTCAAGCACGTCATAATTTTATTTTGTATAATCAGATTAACTTTATAAAGTGTATTAAAGATAAAGGTAGAAACAGACTTGTAAAACGAAGACTGTCGTTTTGATCCTCTTTAACGTGTGTGCTTTTGCGACCTTACACAGTGAACACTTCTCAAACGCATTTAAGACAATATCCAGGATGGTTATGAAAAGGACATTTAAGGTTAACTACTGACTCGATTTTCGAGAACCAGGTGAACTCAGATCAAGTAACTCCGGTGAATTAAATTTTAAATTTATAAATAAACCAAGGTCAGATTTTGCGAGGGGTGTAAGGTTTCGAAAACTGTATAATAATAATAATGATAAAGCTTTATTTAAGACAGTATGCGAATATATGGTACAAAAATTTTCAGCGCATTCAGTTCCAAAGTACTTTTTTCTTCACACAGGATTCACATGTAAAGTAATAATCTGAAGTATATCTTCATTTCGTCGAAGAATTGTACAGCGTTTACTTGGGAGCAAGTTAATTCATCGCGCAAGTTTATGTATAGGTCATCTGATATAACTGAACGATTAAAACAATGATAAATCCAGATGAAATAAAGCATTTTGGAGGAAAGTAATTTCGGTAGCCCAATAATTTAAGCAGGCCGCCTTAAAAATATAACCCTGAAATCTGTGCAGAGGAGAGGTTAGTTCAGACCCCTATTCTACTTGTACTTGTTTGCTTCCACTATTTGTGACCCATTCGCTATTACCACCTTAAAGTGTCTTTTTTGTGTATTTTATTGTCTTTTTCTTCTCCCACCGTGACACTTGTCAAGCGGACACTGAACCATCTTGCTTCTAATATAGGTATAATTTTCACCTAATCAAATTTCAAACCCTTACTTCTATGTTAATGGCGGCCTGCTTAAATCATTGGTCTACTGGAATTGTTTTGCACCAGAATGCTTAATTTCGTCTGAATTTATTGTTTTAATTTTTTAGTTATATCAGATGACCTATACATGAACTTTTGCGGTGATTTGGCTTGCTTCCAAGTAAATGCTGTACAATTCTTCAACAAAATGAAGATATACTTCAGATTATTACTTTACATGTAAATCCTGTATGAAGAGAAAAGTATTTTGGAACTGAATATGCTGAAAACTTTTGTACCATATGTTCTTATGCTGTCTGAAATAGAGCTTTATTATTCTTACTGAGTTGGTAGTTATTACACAATTTCATTCTGTCCTTAGAGACCACTTCTAAGCAACACTGTATCACTTTGAGTAATTTACACACTCCCTTGTTACTGCTTTGTGTCAAAAAAAAATGTAAGCATAGCTGTAAAACCTTAGAAGATGAGTTTGTCGATACAGAAAATATTCATCGTTAAATTCTTTTCTCGTTTGTTCATGACTCAGTAGAAATGTTTGGTCTTTTAATATAAAAATCCTGGAAAACTGAACACTGACAGATTTCTCGATTATTTTACCAACTGGTAACCAAATGATAACGAAAAAACACTAATCTCCATCTGTCACTCTCTGAAAACTTAGACTACTTTGGACTTTAAGGTGGTAATAACCGTAACAACAGAGTTTTTCTGTAATTTACAACTGGTACTCTATAAACCGGCAATACATTAGGCATTTCATTGATGTTTTGGCACACATGCTCATCAATTAAGTGAAATAGAGGTAAATCAAATTAAGGTAACCCGTACAAAATTTTTTAAAGAAGTTTATGAGTTTTAAATGGTTTTAAAACTTAACTTGTTTAAGAACAATTCTCGAGAAGGTATGTTGAGTCTCATACCATAAACAAGTGATCAAATTCCCTACAAAAATATTTCGATCACTTGATGTTAAACTATAGGCACAAATCACCATAAACTCAAATTCTTGTAATGCACAATAATTAAGAACACATCAAAGTTAAATAACAACAGTTTAACATACTCGACAATATGCAAGCGGAGTTGAATTAGTCTGAGACACTATTCTAACAGTCAACAACACTTAAACTCTCTACTGACTTGCTATTTTAATAAAACGAATTTCTAGTGAGGTTGATAGTTGTAACCAAAAATTAAATTTCATGAATACCAATTTTTTTAAAAATAAAGTCAATTAACCTTTACAATACAAACATAGCAACTCATTTAAATGATCTAACCTGATGGATTTGATTCAAAAAATAGTATGCGCGTTGATAAACATGCTTTAAGCATCAAAACATGTAGGCGTTTTGCAACATTTGTCATTTGCTTTTGAAATGAGAAACAAGGAAGAAAGAAAAAAAACTAATCGGGATTAAACATAATTTATATTAAATAATGTTTAATGAATAAATAGACTGTCTCATTTGAAATGGATTTCATAATATTAGGCAACACTAAGAAATAACAGACTATATGTTAAGAGGGATATATAACTATACGGTTTTGATTTACCCTTCTGACTTCTATTTGAAGACAAATTTAAAGTGCATAAGTGTAGTGCAAGTTGTGCTGAAGAAAGAAGGAAGTAAATATGCAGTTAAAATAGAATTTTGAACGTTTTTGTCTGAACGAATTGGACTAAGAGACAATTAGCATTTGTTTTATTATGCAGGTGTCTTTCTTGTAACCGGAAGATCCTGGGTTCGAACTCTGGCAGGGGGTGTGTATTGCCGATGATTCCCAAATTAGGATGAAACAGCTGTCCAGTACTGCCTGGTTTTTAATGGTTCTCTAACTGATATCAATCCGTGATCAACAAGATATTTCTCATATTTCTTGTAATGTTTATAAAACAAAAACTAATTTAAAACAATGAGTTCCCTTTATGAATTCAGATAAAGCAATAAGAAGACGTAATTTGTCTGAATCGTGTTGTGTATTTCCACACAACATATTTCAAACAATCTGATCACACGCGGACTTTTCATAGGAATATTTATGAAATTATTAAAGAGTTAAGAGGTGAGAAAGTAGACTTAGGTCAAGTTAAAGGGATATATTGAAGGTCAAAATAACAACGAAGACCACTAAACCAAATAACAGAGGTTATAGTACATCTACCCTAGATTGTATCAAAACAAATTTTACCAAGGAAGGTAGGTTTAGTGTGATGACGAATTGTTTTGAAACGCATAAAGGTGGTTTAAGCCTCCTGATTGTCAGCTAGGGCTTCCACAAATTTAGGATACGCCCCAAACACGTTTTATAAGACAGGTTTAAAAGATCTGTTAACGTCAATTTTATGTTCTGTTTCCATAATATGTTTCGCAAGAGAGGAGCTAGGTCTCCTGTTCTCACCATTAATGGGTCCTGAAGATTCTGTTTACTTCTGGAGCCATTTAGGAATATTCTCAAAAGCCAGCCCTTACTTCAGAGATCGATAAGTCCTCCTTATGTATGTGTCCACACGTACATTCAAATATGTAAATACAGCAGGATGTGACATTATTTTTCGTATGTTCGAAGGACTTAGGTAGACATATTGGTTTCACATTCTTAATTATTATGATATTAGCTGCATAAAAAGTCATGTTAACAGCAGCGTTCAGTCTTTATCTGGTTATCAAGCTTCTATGATGCCCCATATAAAGTTTTATCATCGATCTAATATAAAAGTAAGTTTAATTCAAGTAGAAAGTGATCACACATCATATTCATCATCTGAAATACTTTACGTTTCTATCTAATAAAACACTCCAAGAACAACATTTAATTAAAGAATATGACTTTATTCATACTGAAACAATTAGTCCATTTGATGAATTTGAATAAGGCATTTAGAAGACAAACTTCGCAAGATGATATCATTTCGTAGTTTCTTTACAACAGCTTTACAATTAACATGGTTCATAATAATAAACAACTTGAAGCCATTGGAACACATACTGCCCGACTGTATGGCTTTCTAAAGATGCACAGAACTGGGAACCCACTAAGACTCATCTTAGATATGTCGAATTCTCTATATTATAAAGTCGTCAGGTGGATTACAGAAGTCCTTACGTTTGTAAGAGATTTAATATCGAATTATTCTGTAAAAAGTTCATTTGACTTGACCGATATGCTAGACACCTTGAACATTAAGGAAGAGGTTACGTGCTCAATCGAAATGGAATCTTTATTCAGCAATGTTCCTCTTTAAGAAACTGTTGGTCTCATTTTTGGTTACATCACAAGCGATGGGATAAACTTACTTATTCCTGTCACTTTCATCAGAGACATTATCTTAATATGTGCAGAAAATATCACATTCACTTTCCAAGAAAACGCAAACGAATAAATCGAAGGTGTTGCTATGGGGAGCCCTCTTTGGCTCCAGTTAGCAAATATATTCATGTCGAAAATGAAGAAACAGATGCAAGTTGTGCTAGGAGAATTTATGCTATATAAACGCTATGTGGATAATACTACCATTACTGGCAATAATAGTAAGTCTATTGAAAAATTTAATACTCTATTTAATCATACTCATCCGAATCGAATAACAAACTCGGTTTCTTGGATATTTCAATGACCAGAAGATATGATGGAATGGTTAAGCGATCTCTTTTTCGTAAACAGACATGGAGTGGACAATATCTTCATTTCACCAGTTTTGTTCTTATCCAGTATAAATGTTACCTAGTGAAATGTTTGTTTTCAAGGGCCTGCAAAATATGTTCGAGCGACACATTGATGGGTAAACTTCAACATATACATTCAGTTTTATTAACTAATGGTTATTCAGAAAACTTTATTAATTGTCACAGTAAGGATAGACCACATCTAGAAAAGAGAGCTTCTGTATCAAAGAAAGCTATCTTTATTAACCCACCCATGCAAGGGTGGACAAATTATGCAGTTGACATTTCAAAGACTTCGGTCAGCCATCAAACGCATATTCTACGCCGCATCTCTTTCCCTCACATCTCGAACATTTTCGATCCCTGTATCTACGATTAAAGGACAAAATTCTGTATCTACAAGTTCACCTGCAGTTGCGGTGACATCGATATAGGTAGAACCAATAGAATGTTCCAATGTCGTCAAAATGTACATGTTCCAAAATGGCTATTAAAACATATAGAAAATCCCAATACAATTAATCTGAATAGAAATCCAGCATCATATATTGCAAAGCACTTATAAATGTCAGGCCACAAAATCAATAGTAATGACTATTTGACAATTATTTTGCGTAACTCTAATTCAAAATTATTGAAGGCGATGGAAGCACTTTGGATAAATCACGCACATCTTAAATTATGTGTACAAAAATCAATAGACTAGAACCTTTGCTTACCATGAACTACTTGACCTATTTGAATATGATTGCTCATTAGTATGTACTTTCGTTTTTTATAACCGAGTAATAATCATACATTTTATTTTATTATTGTGAACCATGTTAGTTGTAAAGCGGTTGTCAAGACACTATGAAATGTTATCATCTCTCAAAATTTGTTTTCTAAATGCTTTATTCAAACTGTTATACAGCTGAAGTTTTAAATAACTGCTTAGTGACAAGCAAATCTAGCTGTTCATGAGTTATTTTCGCTTTAGTATATTAAAGTAGTGTCTTTGAAAAGAGGAAGACATTATGGGTCATTGATTGACTACTGAAAGGCTTAGGGTTTAAAAAGCATTCTTACGTGCTCGAGAACATCTCCCAGCATGGTTAAGTAAAGGTGTAGTGAAAAACATTAATAGCTCAATATTGGACCATCTGGTGCAAACCGGACACAAAGCCAACTTTGAAGAATCCTTCTCTATAATCTACCGGGTGCCTAATAAATTGCCAAAATCATCGAAGCACCGCAGGCTCCAAACAGCAGAGGCTATTGCAATTCGCCTCAAACAACCAGTGCTCTGTGTTCAAAAGAAGCAAGTCCAGCCCCTACTACTGCCCTGGCCGGCATGTAGTAGAGACTGTAAACCGTGAATTTATAGTATTATATTTCCTAATTTTTCTGAAATTCAGTTAATTTTTATGTTGATGCTACGGAGCTGTAATGTATCAATATTATTGATTCTATGTCATTTAAACATTAATGTTGTTCATAACACTGACTCATTCATTCACTATAATGTATATATAACTGTTTTTTTCCTTCACGTTCCCAGTGGAACATACGGCCTCAAGCTAGTGGCGTCAAGTTTCTGTAGCAGTGTTCAGTTTTACAGGATGGGGTTGCTAGCCTCATGCCCAACCTTTCCTCTTTACCAGCATTATTTCTGGCTTAGTGAGGTAAAGGAGTGGGTCGGGCGGGGATCGAACCCTGGACCATGTGCATGGTCGGCGAGCGTCCTAACCGCTGTGCCATCGACGCTATATATAACTGTAGAGCCTGATAATGAATTTATTGAAAAGAGTACTCTTTGTTCAGTATCCATTCTTCCAAAGCACAAATAACACACATAAGCCTAATATGTTATGTAAATGTACATAAAAACAGGTTAAATACTGAATTATTACGATTATTATTACTTACTCTGAAAAATAACAGAGTGCGGCTAGCACCAAAGAACACTAATAAAACAGTCAAAATCAAAAGTATGTAAAGATTTACAAAATTATCCTCTAAATTCCATGTTCCTGTATTAGACGAATAGTTCACTGGCATGGAATTGCTGGTTGTATTACGATTGTCCACAATATGAATCCTAGAAATAGATAGGATGAAAACAGGCACATTTTTGGTGAAAAGCGTTGAATAAAATTTACAACTTTAAACTGACTAAACAAATAAATAAAAATAATTGATAATCTAATCATTTAATTATACAAGGAAATGGACATGAATTTTGTTTTTATTTAATTTAAAAAAAGTGTTTTTTTGTAATTACCATCTTGATAACCAAACATCAAATAATGCAAAAAGAACGATGGTGAAAATGAACATCAGTAATACGAATACCACACAGAAGTAACTGTCACTCAGACGACCAAAAGCTAAATAAGTTTTCCATCCAACTGTTCCATGACGAAGTTTTTCACCGGTACCATTTGCATCACTCAAGGCATCTTCTGGAATATCTCCCATATAAGCGTTTACATTGTTCATTTCATCTTCCACAACAGTGAATTCATCATTTAAGTTTGTTTCATCAATTTCTTGACTTTTGACAGATTTAGAAGTACTTAATGTTCTGAATTTCTGGAGAAATTTAATTGAAAATTAAGAATATTATATTCATATTTAGATTGTTTCATGATACAACGTCAAGCATATATATTTTAATTAGAATCTTAGGAATATGACTTTATGATAACTAGACTGATTAATTCAGCAGAGTGAATATGACGGATAAAAAAATGGCAGTTAACACTTAGTATACTTCCACAAATTTCTTTGCAAAAGGAGATTGGTGTAACCAGGCCCCCTTATGGCTCATACTTGACTAGATTTTATCAACTTCTATCACTGAATGAATTGGAAAAATGTTTGTTTAAATTGAGCTTAAAGTTATCACTGATGTCATGAATGATTAAGTACTTGAGACATACTACAGAGGAGGGCAAAATGAGGCAACGATTCAGAAGGATAACAAACTATGTGTATAAGCGTAAAATACCTTGAGACGTTATGTATGGCTGGATTATCTTATATGTGCATAGAAAAACAAGCATTTTTATAGTTACTTCGTTATTCAAGTCCTCTGATATTACCGTCAGCATGACAACTTACAGATACTGTTTCTAAAAGATTTTTCATGTTATAAATACTTCATTTTATGTAATCTGTTGTGCTATACCAAGCCATTTCAAGTGTGTGTGTTTTCAGGTGGAAAGCATTCATAAAACTATACTAAAGATGATTTTGCATTGGCTTTAGTTCCTCTTTAAAGACTTGCTTAAAATTTCATGATAGAATCTGTATGTTACTATTTCCTCACTAAAATATGCCAGGGACTTTTGAACTAACATTTAATCATTGCACCAAAAGACAAATAGTAGACTTGACAGTGTGAAATATTCCCATTTTATGAATTAGAAGTCAATCTGAACGAAGAATATTCTTTTCAGTGATTTCTTTTCAGGTTCTTATGATCATAAAGTATAATATTTGTTTTCATCTACGGGTTCGAGAACATTTACCAGCTTGGTTCAGCAGGGGGGAGTAGAAATTAAGTGCATGAAAAGCTCGATCTTGTCACACTTGGTCGATACTGGACATCGCATCGACGTCAACATAGCTTTCAGGGTTATATACTGAATTCTGAAGTCGTTATCACGTACAGTTCGCTTACGTCTCCTACACATAGCTGTTGCAATAAGATCGACTAAACTGGAACTTTGTATCCAAAAAGAACACGTCCACACGCTGTTCCTACCGTGGCCAAAATTGGATTGATGATTCTTCTTCACACCAAGAGTGCTCCTTCCCCTTAACCCTCTTGGTTTTTTTTCCTTGGCTTATTACTACAAATATTATTATTACAATTATTATTATTATTCGTCATAATTTATGCCATTTATGCAAACATTCCCTCAATACTATCGAATTTTTCATCTATACTATCCGGACTTATTATTAGTGATATTATCTCTTTCCTCAATATATGCCTCCACTTGTTTCATTTAGCATACTCGTTATTTCATTATGAACCTATCATTGCAGTCTTACTACCTCCTGCTTAACTCAAACCACTTTGCACTAGCCACTCACCTGACACCTTTTATAACCTTGAACTGATTTGTCAATTTCCCTACCCCGTACTCCACAATTCTATTATCATTAATCACCACTATTGTCTCCTGTTTTACAATATTTCTAATCGATTTTAGCCTAGCACGTTTGTCACACAAATATGACTATTTATTTTGACACCCCATAACTAATCTGTTATTCTACGTTAAAAATGCATCCACCGCATAACTGACCTTTATTGTAACGACCACAAATATTATATTTCATAATTGTAAGAACCTGAAGAGAAATTATTGAAAAGAATATTCTTCGTTCAGATTGACTTCTAATTCATAAAATAGTAGACTTCGGAAAGGGGTATGCAGTTAAAAACTAATACATTAATGTAGAAGTACTATACAACAGTGCCTTATAATGGCCTGCTATTCTGTGGGGAGTACAAGTTCAGAATGAATCTACAAAAATAGTAAAGCACTTTCCTCGTGAATAAGACAAATATTTTTCAATTTATGGCGTTGTCAACCAAGAGTAAACAACCTAGAATTCTTCAAACACTAGAAATTCACTATTTCGATAATAAAAATAAAATCTGATTTTATTTTTACTTTTCTCCAGGATGTCCTAAAGTAGCTTCTATTCTCCGGCAAACTATTTCCAGGAGAATTTTTGTGAATTGTAGGTAACGATAGGAACACCATATCATCGTGTACATAATCGTCTAATTTACTTGGAGACTGAGCAATTGCATAACAGCTATCCAATCTGTAAGGTTCATAATCTCTATGAGATCTTGACAGCTGTCTATTAAATCCTTCAAATGTCACACCGATTTCATCGCTTAGATTATTGTAATTTTCTTCCTTGAAAGTTGTATTTCCTTTTTGTTGGTCAGTTTGACTGCAGACGAAATCGTCCAGCTGCAAATTTCTCGCCTGGAGATCTGAATATGTGCCAAAAAATATAAGTTCACCCTGAAAAGAAAGCATGAGATTTTGTGTTTAGATTCTACTGGATTTATTAGCTGAAATTTGCTGACAAAGACTAAGATTATTCTTTTGGATATGCAAAGAATAACATTTTGTCGCCTTCTAGTAATGAAATGAAAGTGAGAAAAGTGAGAAAACATTACTAAAATAATATGCATAATAAGACACAATCTATAGAGGTTTCTTCACTTTCCAAATTACCTTCAGTACGGTAAGTAGCAGCCTGCTTACTGATTTAAGAAACAAATATCAGGTAGTTTTGTGAGTGATAGAATGCAGAGGAGTTTATACTCAGTATTAAATTGAACTGTCATTTGTCAGTAGTCTGATCTTCTCCCACTCTCAGAGTCGGAATTCAAACACCTACTGCTTATGAATACCACGGATGTGCAATTCCAATTTGACAACTCTTCACCGCCAAGTAGGTGATGTAGCAACTGACAGTCCACTTGTTTTAACAGATATATTTATGTCCAACCTTGAAAGAACAAAGTTGAAGTATACAATCGACGAAATAACTTCCTACTGTCGATATGTTGATGACACATTTATAGTGTGCAAAAATGAAAGTCATGCTTCACACTTACTCAGATTATTCAGTGATGCACACACCAATATTGGGTTTACCATGGAACATGAAAGTGACGGAAAGTTCTACTTCCTCGACACTGCCATGCAACGCCTAGAAGACCGTAGTCTTCAGAAGTCAATTCATCGACAGCCTACTTGGAAAGGACAATACTTACACTTTAATAGCTTTTGTCTAAATAGCTTTAAATGCGGACTAGTCAAAACTCTGTACTATGGAGCGAGAAGAATATGCTCTATAGAGAAATTGGAGGAAGAATGTGAGTTTCTTGAAAAGATGCTGAGGAGCGATGGGTACCCTCAAAGGTTCATCAACAAGTATAGAAGATCTGAAGTCACAAATGCAAAACAAATCACAGTGGATAAAAAGCCAATCTACATTCAGCTTGATTATTAAGGCATAAACATTGCAACAATGATCAACAGAAGGCTGAGTACGTCAATAGCCAGAGCCTATCCTGCAGCTATCGAATAACTTGCTCTTTGGTGCAGTCAAAAATCGATAGATATCCTTCTCATGTTAACTCCAACTCTATATACAAATTTACATGTATCGGCGGGAAAGGTTACATTGGAAGGGAGAAAGAATGACATATCTACGATTTTCTGAACATGTACCCAAAAGCTTACGTCTAAAGGGAACAAAAGCCTTAAACAGTGCCATTGCCATCGGGTCATGAGGTGGACGTCAAAAAGTCGTTCAAATCTATCCATAGGCAAAAGAGCTCAATTCTCCTCAAGTTTGCTGAAGGAATTTCCAACAACCTGATTTGTGTGTTCAGAAAGAAGCAGTTATCAGTCTTTCTTTGCCGTGGTAACTGGATATTTTCATCTCTCTTTCATCTATATGCGAAATGCTAGAAAGTTCCCATTGTGTATGATTATTACTGTTCGAAATAGTATTTAATATTACATATATTTATATACATATATATAGTATACATTATTACTGTATGCATATATTGATCCACTGATTTTTTGTTTAAAATGAACTCTGTGCAAGTATGTTAAAATTGTTTCTGTAGATATATTTAATAATGTCTTTGGTCTGTAAGCAGCTGACGAGAAGGCAACGAAATAAAAGATGGTAACACTTTATTCTGTTAAAACTGTAATTCTTGCTTTGTTCAATTACTGCATTCAGTATTCGTCAAAGCAAGCATATTATTATGAAGTTTTTACACATGTAGCTATTACATTCATCTTGACAGCGATTAAGTTGATGAATAACCCATAGGCATAGTAAAATGAGTAGATCCTTCACATATGGTTTGAATTTTCCAGAGATAAACTGTCGTTAAGATTAGAGAAGAAACGTATGAATTAAATTCATGCGTATTTATTAATCTGAGGGAATGAGTTGTTTGCAAGTACTGATTCACTGAGCTTCGAGTGATTTTAATTTGAATCACGAATTGACAATAGTTAAGAGAACTGCTGAGTACTAGCCAGGAATTTTTGTCCAAATATGAGACAGCAGTATGCATTCATAATCCTGTTCAGTATCGGATCTAAGACTCTTTTGCTGCTAGTCAAGCCCATCTATTCTTTACATAACTACTTAAATTTACAATTTTAAATACAGACAAAATTTAAACATATCGGGATAATTTATATGCTATAGCAAACAGTAAAACAATATTATTTACTAATTTAATTTCAAGTGTAGTCTATTACACTATTTATATTCTATTCTTAGAAAATCGAAACACATTTGTTTAGTGTAGTGCAATTTACTTTGGATCACCAATGTAAATACGTAATTATAGACAGTGAACTTAGTGTCACATGATAAGATAATGTCTTGTAAAAGCATTAAATCCTTTTGTCCTGAAGTGAAACGCTATTTACATCTTCCTGTATTCTTCTATTATTCACTTTTTACATTCTGACAAGTACATAGGGCATAGTTCTGTATATTAAGGGAATATTACATTTTTAAAAATCTCTTCACACTTATATTCCTTGTATACTACGTAAGCATACAAATCAAATCAGCAGAATGCCTAAACTGATATACCTTTTAATGTGTAATATCACCTATTTTCGGATCATATACTTGCAATGAACAAAGTCAACTTAAGCAAGAAGTACACTGCATGTTCATGGACAATGACAAATACCTCCATGATAATAACACTTTTTCCATCAAACTCTTCTTATATTCGAAGGATTTCATCATGAGCTGACATTGGTTAGAAAACCCCTGGAAAACCTGGGAGTACCGGACAGCTGTTTCGTCCTAGTTTGGGACTCTCCAGCAGTACTCACCCACCGGGGTTCGAATCCAGGACCTGGTTACAAGTCTAGCGAGCTCGTAGACCATTGTGCCACTGGGACCCGATCCAATGGCCAGTGCATGAATTCTAACTTCTACCAATTCACGACATAGCATGACCATTTCGCAATGTCTTCTTCGATGGGTTACTGCCTCATCTTCAACCCACTTTACCCTACTGGTTACGGCTTCCCAGTAGAACCCCAGTTCGCTGCCTGAATATGGCCAGTCGCTAGTGAGCATCCAACTGATTTCCAAGTATTAGTTTTGTGGGGATTTTGTTTGATTGGATGGAGGATTTCATCATTAGTTGACATCATTTAGAGAACCACTGGAAAACCTAGGAGTACTGTGCCAATGGATCAGGTCCCAGTGGCTCAATAGTCTACGGGCTCGCCTTGGAACCAGAAGGTTCTGGGTTCTAACCCTGTATGTGTGTACTCTGAGGGGCCTCAAACTAAGGCGAAATAGCTATCCGTTATTCCCAGGTTTTCCAGTGGTTCTCCAAATGATGTCAGCTCATGATGAAATCCTCCATCCAGTTAAACTGAATCACTACAAAAACAATACTTGAAAACCTTCTTATATTCAACACTTTGGAGTCTTAAAGAATTTAGAACAACACATTTAAGCGAACAATATTGTTTTCAATTAGATCTCATCAGGCTTAACTTTAATATATTTCATTAGTACAGCCATTATCCCTCCTTCGGCCTATTATGACATCATGAACTAATGACTTCTACACCATTCCTTGTTTATATTTTCAACCCCTTTCTTATCATCCCTTAATCTTACCACATCTTCATTACAAACGTGTTTCACTTACTTTCCTTACAATCTAACATTACTTAATCGGTTCATTTGTTTTTACTAGGCTTTATCGACTACTTCCACCTGAATATTTGTTTGTTTAATCATGCTGTTTTTTCATTGTTCATGTTATCACAGATTGCCGCACTTTTTCATCCTTGTTACTGATAAAACCATTATTATTATTACTATTATCATTACTACTATTATGACTAATTGCACAATTTATATTCACCATCGTATTATCCTATAGACAAAACACCATGATTGGTTTATATTTGTAAAATTACATATATTAGAGTTAAGCCTGATGAGATCTAATTGAAAACAATATTGTTCGCTTAAATGTGTTGTTCTAATTTTACTATGGGAATATTTAAAGAATTTAGTAAGACATTTGTAAAATTCTGTGTTAACTAGTGAAGGGAATTTCAGCGAAACAGTAGTCAGGCGTAGCTTTTCAGAACTGTGGTAACGCAGCTACCTGACATGAAAAGTTTGATGGACAGTGACGAAATGTTTGTAACATAAAAATGAGGAGTGCAAATTAAGGAAGCCATAAAACAGCCGAGATAAAGCCGAATTCACCAAAGATGATTTAATGCAATTAAGAACTACTTGGAAACACAAATTTTCTTTTGAACAGGCCCCTGCAATAACTAAGACTACTTCTTAAATTTTTCAAACGATATACAGTTCATCTGAATGCATTTTAGGATCGACATACTGGGATGTCGTTGGCTAACTCTGTAAATACACGGGAATTTTAAATATGCTTCATTCCCATTGAAAATGCGCTTCAAAACTCCCAGTTGTAAAATCCATGAGTCTTTCGTGTGTTAGTGTGATAGTATTTAAACTGATTAATACTGTAGGACTCATGTTTTGAGAGCTAAGATCTAACAATACTCCTTTGCTGAATTATTGTTGCTGAATTTCATTATTACGAACTTCATGTGTGTAAAGTAACAGTAAATTTACACTGAATAGGAAAATGATTTTACAGCTTTCAGAAACACAAATTTTAACCGACTAGACAGTTGTGTAAATCCCTTTTTCGATATTAAGTACAAACCAATCATTATTTAAAAAATATTTCCAAAATGGCTAAAAAATGCCTAAAGTAACAATTCAGAACGAAAAATAAAATAAACCAAAGTTAACAATCAAAATGTAAAAATAAAAATGGACTACTAATATTCTCTGAAAGTAAATAAATTCTAAAATTCTACCTCTCTTAGAATCAAAATTTTATCCATAAACGGAAGAAGTTGATGTTGATGCGTAACAAGCAAACGAAGTTTATCCGACATGAAATCACATATACATTCTTTGAATAAGTGATTTGATACACGAGCATCAACCGCTGCTAATGGATCATCTAGAAGTAAGATTTGTTGACGAGAATAGGCTACTCGTGCTAAAGCAATACGAGCTTTTTGTCCACCGCTTAAACTTCCACCACGTTCACTAATATATGTTTTGTCTCCGTTTGGAAAACGAGATAGATCCTGAAAGGAAGCATTATAAAAGATTAGTTTCTACTTCAAAAATTATTTTACTGCAAACTTTCAATAAACTCAGTGTACTTTTAAAAACAACAAACACGACAAATTCTGAGGATGTCGTGCACAGCGTAGCTTACCAAGGTTAAATTTTCATTAAACCTATTTACTTCGGGTAAGACCACGGAGTAATATCAATTAGAGAAGCATTGATAACCAGGGAGTACTGAACAGCTGTTTCTTCCTAGCTTGGGCTTTATCGGCAGTACACACCCACTGGCTTTCTGACCCAGGACCTTCCGGTTACAAGGCAAGCTCGTATATCATTCAGCCACTGGGACCCCATTCATTAGTTCAGTACTCCCTGGTTTTCAATGTTTCTCTAACTTTTATCACTCCGTCGTCTAACCTGAAGCATACAGAATCCCCACACACCAATTCTTGAAAACCTATTTATGAAATACATATATATATATGTCACTTGAGGTTTGTGTTCAAACATAGACAGTTAAGATAATTCGCAAGTCGTTTTGCTAAAAAATGACTTTCACAGGGTGCAGTGGAACTGTGGTGAGAGCTGGCTGTTAGCCAAATTGGTGGACAGTAATTTACTTCAATGTATATGTCCCCAATGTTGGTCGTGAGAAAAATACGAACAAAGGCTTTGCGTAGGCGGGTACAATTGACATATAGATGATCTGACATTCAAGAAACAGCCACAAAGAGATGCAAGGTTAACTTTCAGTGAGAAACAACCAATCAGAAGACTGTGTTTCTCTTCTAACAATAGTCTACAATATGTACATGAAAATCTTTAAATATGTGTTGATTTCCTTAATAAAGGATCTGTTTCCTGGCCCTTTTCTTCTGTTGTTACAAAACCATGGCTCATTGTCTTAAGAATTTGAAGCAAAGCATGGTGTCACTAGCCCTCACACATTAGACGTGCTATATTATTATTATTGCACTTCAGTACATTGAAATGGCTTATGACGCACGAATTACCTAGTACAGAATATTTCACTTAAAAGAATAATATCTGTAATGGGTTTCGTGTTCAAGATTCAACAGTTTTCACGAGATAATTGCGAATCATAGCCTGGTTAAAAAATCTTATAGTGGTAACCAAGTAGAAGAGAAAACTTCTGCTCATGGTTAGGAAAGTAAACCCTTTAGAACATTTGACTTTCATTCTAAGTAATAGTGCAGAGATGTGACGACACATTTACTGTGCTGAAACCTGTTCAAATCCACGAATTCTTCATAGGTATAAACCCGGTAATTAATTAAATTAGTTCAGTTTCGAGCTAGAAGAATAACAATGCAAAATAATACAAAAAGTTGGAAATTTTTAAAATAACACGTGTAAAAAAACAATCACATTCTGATAAGCACTCTGGACTGTCCCATGCAATATTAGTAAAAAATGAGTTTAGATAAATGTTCAAATAATCCTGCCAGAAGTCCGACAAGTAAACCGGAAAACTTAAATAAGGAAATGAAAAGGATAAATAAACAATACTACTCGACAACTAACCATTAGAAATCATTCAAAAACTCACAAAAACCTACACAAAAGACAGAAATAGTAGTAATCATAATGGCAAATAAGAGGTTTCAAGTTCCGATAATACTATTATATAAGAAAAAACCTTCTGAAGCTCTGTATGAGGTTCTTAAGGAAGCTGGTATTTAAACCTGTAAACTCATTCAAAGACTTTTCTATATTTTGGTTTGTAAGGGTTAGTTCTGTTTTAACGATTTGATCAAGGATTTATATCAGCTAGAGAACCATTGAAAACCAGCACTGGAGTACTGGACAGCTGTCTCATCCTAGTTTGGGAATCATCGGCAGTACACACTCACTGGAGTTCGAACCCAGGTCCTTCCGGTTACAAGGAAAGCTCGTATACCATTCAACCACTGGGATTCGATTCACTGGCCAGCCCATGAATTCTAACTTCTACCAATTAGTGATTTATTATTATTGTATCGTTCAGTTCCTAGAGGAACATAGGGCTTCAGCTGCGCATCTCCATTGCCTTCTGTTTTCTGACAACTTTGTCACTCCGCTCCAGGTCCGTCCACATGCTTTCATCTCCTCTTCACATGACCTCCTCCAAGTCACTCTTGCACTGACGACCAACTCGCCGCTTTCCTTTCCGGTTCCACCCGAGCAATGGCTTGTCTAGTGATGTCACTTGATGGTTTCCTCAGAGTACGGCCAATCCATCTCCATTTCTTCTTGCCTATTTGTTTCACAATCGGTTCCTGGTTGGTTTGCTCATTGCCAGAGACCGCTGTTGTTGATCTTTTCTGGCCATCTGATCTTGAGTATTGAGCGAAGAGAGCTTTGTTTGAGATGCTCTTTGTGACGCGTGCCAAGTCTCTGATCCGTATAGTAGCACTGACTTTACATTGGAGTTGAAAATCCGGATCTTATTTTTGATGCTGAGTGCTGTTGACCTCCACACAGATTTGAGAGTAATGAAAGCTTGTCTTGCTTTTCCGATTCTGGCTTTGATGTCCTCGTCAGTTCCGCCTGTAGTTGAGACGATGCTTCCCAGGTAGGTGAAGGAGGTTGTTTCTTTCAGGTTCTTCCCATTTATGCTGATTGTTGTCTGTTGTTGTTGTTGCTGTTGATGTTGGCTAGGAATCTTCATCACCTCTGTTTTATCTATGTTCACGTGAAGTCCTATCTTTGATGCTTCTTCTGCCAACTTGTTACTTTTCACTTGCATATCTTCCAGTTTATGGGAAATCAGACATATATCATCGGCGAAATCCAGATCCTCCAAGTCTTTTGTGTCAGTCCATTTTATGCCTGTTCCCTCGTTGGTTGCCGTTGTCTGTCGCATTATCCAATCAATTGCAATCAGGAAGATCATTGGTGATAGTAGACAGCCTTGCCTCACTCCCGTCCTCACTTCGAAGGCTTCCGTAAGTTTCCCGTTGTGGATTACTTGGCATGCAGCATTGTCGTATAACTGTTGGATGAGATGTATAATTGTCGATGGGACCCCGTAGTAGCGAAGTAGTTTCCAAATGACCTCTCGATCGACGCTGTCGAAGGCCTTTTCAAAGTCGATGAAGTTGAGATAGAGAGGTGACTGCCATTCCAAGCTTTGTTCAATGATGATCCGTAGAGTGGCGATTTGATCAATACATGATTTGTTTCTCCTGAATCCAGCCTGTTCCGGACGAAGTTTTTCATCTAGGGCTTGTTTGATTCTCTCCAGGATGATGCGACTTAGTATCTTGCTTGGAATGGACAGAAGCATAATTCCACGCCAGTTTTTACATTGACTTAAGTCTCCTTTCTTTGGAAGTTTGAATAAGTATCCGTTCTTCCAATCCTCGGGTACTTTGCCCTCTTTCCACACCTTCTCCAGCAGTGGTGTCATCAAGTCCGCTGTTGTCTCTGGGTCTATTTTCAAAGCTTCTGCTGGGATTCCATCTGGTCCCGGTGTTTTCCCAGCTTTTAGCATCTTGATTGCATTCAGGACTTCTGATTTCGTCGGGGGTCAGTGTTCACTGGTAGTTCTGCTTCCGTTGTTGGTATTGTTGGCGCGTTGTAGGTGGCGGACGATTTAGAAGTCTTTTGAAGTGTTCAGCCCAGTGCTTTCTCTGTTCCACCTCTTTGGTGATTGACTTTCCATTGTCGTCCTTTATTGGCTTAATCTGTGTCGAACGTTTGCCCGAAAGGTGCCTAGTTGTTTGGTAGAGTGTGGCGAGGTCTCCTTTGCCTGCAGCTTGTTCTGCTTCGTTTGCCATGGTTTCATAATATTTTCTTTTGTCTTCCCTGGCACTCTTCTTCACTCTTTTGTTCAGTGTATTGTAGCTTGCATTCAGCTCCTGTTTTTGTTGCTCGTCAGTGCACTGGATAATCTTTTGTTTCACTGTCCTTCTCTCTTCTATTAGTTTCCAAGTGTCCGTAGTGAGCCACTGTTTGTCCTGTCTCTTTTTTCTGCCTAGAATTTCTATGCAGGTTTGGCTCCACACCGTTTTCAAGTTGTTCCAGTGCTTTTCGACGCTGACCTTTCGCTGGTGTTGATTTGTGTCTCGGCTTTGTCCTTTATGCTTGCAATGAAGATGTCCTTTGTAGCCTGGTCCTTCAGCTTTTGAGTGTTGAACTTGGCTTGTGGTCTATCTGCAGCTCCTGATTCCCTGAAAGCTTTTAATTTGATTTGGATTGTCCCTTGTACGAGATAGTGGTCTGAGCCAACGTCTGCTCCTCTTCTTGCTTTTGTGTCCAGTAGGCTGCGCCTCCACTTCCTTGAGATTGAGATGAAGTCGATTTGGTTTTTGGTTTGCCCGTCTGGTGACACCCATGTAGCCTTGTGGATATCTTTGTGCTTGTATACACTGCCACCAATCACCAGTTCGTTGAAGGCGCAGAAGTCGGCGAAGAGTTCTCCGTTTTCATTCATTTCTCCTAGAGCTTCTCTACCCATGATGAGTTCCCTTCCTGTGTTGTCTGGTCCCAGTTTGGCGTTCATGTCTCCCATTAGTATTTTCATGTCGCCAGCTGGAGTATTGTCCATTGTTGCCTGTAGTTGCCTGTAGAATTCTTCTTTCTTTTCGAGGTCTGCGTTGTTTGTGGGTGCATAACATTGTATGATTGACACTTTCCTTCCTTTGGAGTTGAATCTGGCGGTCATTATCCTGGACGAGATCGCTTCCCATTGCATCAGGGCTTTCGTTGCCGTTGGTGACATCATGATAGCCACAATTAGTGATTTAGCACAACCCCAACCATTGTCGTAGGTGGGACATCCATCCACACACGTGACACCTAACTGGACCGCACTGGTGACGACTTCTCACTAGAACTCAGGAAACTCCGACCTGTAGCAAGTCACTAGTGAGCATCAGATTAATTTTCTATAGTTTGGTTTGTAAGGGTTAGAATTCATGAGTCATTGAATCGGGTCCCAGTGGCTGAGTGGTATACGAGCTTGCCTTGTAACCAGAAGGACCTGGGTTCGAATCCCAGTGAATGCGTACTGCTGATGATTCCCAAACTAGGATGAAACAGCTGTCCAGTACTCCAGTGCTGGTTTTCACTCGCTGTCTAACTGATATCAATCCGTGATCAACTCGTAAAAATCATTCAAGGACGCAATTCGTTGACCTAAGAATCCTAAAGACCCATTTAGATAAAACAAATGAATTTTCTAATTATCGTGCAATGATTTTCAGGCGAAGGATATAGATCATACCAGTAGATAGGTGCCATAAGGTAGAAAATTAACTCGATCTAGGAAAAAGCAGCAATTGCGTGCAATCACAGGATGAGATGTGATAGAGCATAATTGCCAAGGATTTAATTAATTAGGTGGAGGGAGAAAACGATCACTGAATCTCTGTTCATTGGATCAACAACTAACCCACCAAATAAGAATGAAACATAGAAAATGGTATCAGAAACAGAAGGAAGTAGAAATCAGGTGAACTAGTGGCATAAGTATGAGAAGTAAACTATGCTTTAAACATCGTCCATGTATTGACACAGGTGCACTTTGTATGAGGTTAAATATGATTTTCTCAGAGTCCTTTCTCCCTGTCTTTCATATCTGCACCAATGCACATATTTCTGTGAAATATTAAATAATATTAAAACTCCAGTATTTTGCTGCTTTAAGGTTAGCTCTTACTGATTATTTCTTTCTACAGGGTATTAAACAGCATTTAACACAAAGTCCTTTAGTTGCAGGATTTCATCATGAGTTGACATTGGTTAGAGAACCTCTGGAAAACCTGGGAGTACTGGGCAGCCGTTTCGTCCTAGTTTAGGACTCTTCATCAGTACTCACCAACCGGGTTTCGAACCCAGGACCTCCTGGTTACAAGTCGAGCTCGTATACCATAAGATCGGGTCCTAGTGGCTTAATGGTCTACGAGCTCGCCTTGTAACCAGGAGGTCCTGGGTTCGAACCCCGGTGGGTGAGTACTGATGAAGAGTCACAAACTTGGACGAAACAGGCGTCCACTGAAATCCCTACAAACCAACACTTGAATAACTAAGTTCTTTGTTTGATTCACATGCTACAATACCGAGTTTTATTTCGAATTATTATTCTAAATGTAATAAATATTCCTCTTGAATTTCACTAACATTTTATTTACAATTAGTTCAAAAACAATCAGATAGCAGTAAAAATATTTTACTTCAACTGTTAGTAGACTCACTGCATCTAAACTGGTTACTTTCAATACAGCTGCATAACGTTCAGGTTCAAACGGTAGATTAGAAATAACATTTTCACGTATTGTTCCAGGAAATATCCATGAAACTTGTGGTAGATAAGCTACGCTACCTGATCTGACAATGTCTCCACTCAGATAAGGTAATTCTCCCAAGATAGTTTGTAAAAGGGAAGACTAAAAATACAATTCAGTAATACAAAAATTTAATACCAGTCAAACAAATGCTTGTACAAAGCAAAAAAAACAAATTAATAGAACTTAAGTATTCCTCATGGTAAAAGGATCCTAACCATTATGTACATTAGTCCTGTAGTCAACTATTAGATATGTGAATCCCTAAAGATTACTTACAGGCGAAGAATTTCTCAATAGTCATCCCTTACCGAAAAGCAAATATATAAGATAAGACTCATGCATTTGACAATTATCTTTATACATTTTCACGGTTGTCAACAAAAGCTTCATCCTGCGTCGACTGAGCGGAACATAATCTTGTAATATTAAGGTCAGAAGGAAGCCAAATACCTTCGGCACTCAATCAATGATCTGTGGTGACTTTAGTGAGATTAAATAACTAATGTCTTCCACGATTGCAAAAATTACTTCAAAATGAATTGATGACAACTTGTATGTTGTCCAGTTAGTAGTAAGAAGTTACAGCATTCATACAATGTACAAAATACTGTCACACCACCATATTAATTTTCAGCTATAGATTTTTAATGCTAAATCTTTTTTTAGAAAACAACAAGAGGAAATAGACAACTAGAAGCAGAAGAAATATTTCGATACATGTCTACATCAGACATCATGAGTGCATTTAAAGCCTATTAGTTCAGTAAAAGTTCCAATTCTAGGGTATATTTTAACAGTAAACATTCGTTAAAACTTCATTATTGTACGTTAACTTATTTCTTTTTCTTCTTCTTTGGATTTTGAATAGAATACAGAGCTTCAAACGGTTAAATTTCATGGCTTTAATGTTATTGTGCTACTCTCGCACTTAACCTTCCTTCTTTTATGATTTTCTTTCCTTCACGTCCCCAGTGGAACATACGACCTCAAGGTAGTGGCTTGAAGTTTCTGCAGCAGTGTTTATTTTACAGGATGGGGTTGCTAGCCTCATGCCCAACCTTTTCTCTTTACCAGTATTATTTCTGGCTTATTGAGGTAAAGGAGTGCGTCGGTGGCCGGGGATCGAATCCCGGACCATGTGTATGGTCGGCGGGCGTCCCAACCGCTATGCCACCGACGCACCGTCTTTTATGAGCTTTTTATTAACTGTAGGCAGGGAATCGAATATGCTTCTGCCGCGTAAATGACAAGCATTCTATGACTGAACTACAGATGTAACTTACTTCTTCAATTATAAAATTATCACATTGTTAAAACATACCTTTCCACTGCCTACAGAACCAATAACACCAATTAATTCATGACCAGAAGCTTTAAAACTAATATCCTTCAAAGTATATGACCTTGTATCCTTTGAAAAATAAAATGAAATACAGAAAAAGTGATTTGTAAATGTGAATACAAAAAAAACAGGTTAACATAGCATGTTGAACAAAACAATTTATAATTCTGTCATAATTTTGATGTTTAGCGATGCTATAGGGTAAAGTTATGCAGAAAAGATATTCTAATTTCATAAATTACTCTGATTGTCATTGATTAATTATAATTCAAATAAGTTAGAAGATGTTCAGAATACGCAAGTCTGTGGAATATGATAAACACAGACACTCTAGGTGGAAATGAACATAGACTAGTGATTACTTCTGAATAAATCAATAAATTTATATTCATTACACTGTCAAATTAGTATCGTCGGCTACTGTTAGGATTAGAGGATTAATAGTAATGTTCCGCCTAAGATTCATAACTGCTAGCTTGTTGAAAAGTGCTCTAAGGTGTAACGCTAAATACTTAGATTATGGAATGTGGAATTCTTTTCATGACCTCAACTTTCCATACAAAGTTTTCATCAAATATAGTCTCTTTTTATTAAACCTGAATATTTGATTAACGCTATTTGACGTCACTACCTATTTCCAGTTAGTTTAAGTTAAAACCTTTTTTGTTTATCAAAAACTTGGTAACTGAAGTAGGTTCTTTTTTAATTATGTAACTTTTGAGCACTAATTAATTTCTGATTCTCTTCTTTAAAGAATAATGAATGTGATCATTAATACACACTGAGATTAGTATCAATATTTTGTTCTGAAATCTAGTGATCTTTTTCTAATATGAATTTTTCATTTTCTCATCGTTAAAGTAAGTTGTCTAAATGACGGGAATGACTGTTTGTCCTACCTACTCTCTTCTTTATGTGATGTCTAGACCTGAAGATAAATTTCTTTTATTTAGTACAGTTCAACTGAATTGTTGTGTAATGCAGTGGTAAATAGTTTAGTCTGATTGACTGTTAGTATTCTTTTGAGACTACAGATTTACAAATAATGTCAGAGTGGCTGATGAGAGTACATCATATTTATCAGACAAAATTAGTCTTGCACTCTGCCAAAACAGTGTGCAGAACCTTTAAGACTTTATTCTGAAACATAATAGTTTGTACTGTTCTTATACTTCAACTTTCATTTCCATAGTGAACCGCAATTATTTAAAACGAATACCGCGTGTTCGACTAATCTACATAGACATCTTGTTGCTATTATTATAAACTCAAACGTCTATTAGTTATTTAGAAATGACCAAATGTCTAAACAGCAGAACGTAAGTAGAATAAATGAATGACTATAAACATATGTATCTAAATACAAACCATCTACAAATTTAAGTATGATCACAAATTGACTTCGGTTAGAGAACTGATAGAAACCAGTGAACACTAGACAGCGGTTTTATCTCACTTTAGGACACTTTAGTATTTACATAACCATGATTCAGCCAAGGATCTAACTCAAGACCTTCAGATTATGATGTGACCTCGTTAATCATTCAGCAACCAGTAATTTTTTTTGATTTTTGATTTACAGCTTGATTTCACACTGTATTTTTGGTACAAGTATGGAATTTTCAGCATGGATATCGGTAGCTCAAATTTTGCAGGCCGACCATAGATATCAGGTGTGCGCCGGCGTGGGCTCGAACCCCGGACCATGTGCATGGTCGGCGAGAGTCCTAACCACTGTGCCACCGACTCAACGTGATGCAACGTGACCGCGAGCTAATATCATTCATTGGCTAATATTTGCCGCCACACTCATCCGACTGATCACAACTTCAGACTAGAACTTAAGGAAACTTCATTCTATAATCAATCACTGGTGAGCAGGTTTCAGCTTGTAGAATCAAACCACTGAAAACCACGACTTGAGAATATTTATAAATTATTGAATATGGTAGAAACTTTACTGTATTATTTCTGCTTTCCTTTTCCCGACTGAAAATGTATCTTGACATTCAGTACATACTATAAAACGTATATCATAATGAAGGCTATTCATAAGAAAAAACTTTAAAATATAATTAAAATATACCTGATTTTTCAGTTTGCTCGAAATGAATTCATAAAGCTAGATTATGACATATTTATTCATATAAAGGCACAATCACAACATAAGAACCGGATGCATCAAAATGAAATTTATGCAAGATTTGAACATTATTAGTAAAGAAGAAAAATACCAGCTAGTTTGAGTTAAACTTACACTTTGCCATTGGGAGTAGACATCAGTGAATTCTATAGTGGTTAAAGATGAATCTTTGATTTGAGGTAGATGACCCCCCTCTGTTTCCGGCAATAAAAGAAATGCCTATATTAAAAAAACATTAAAATGTTAAAAATGATTGCTCGCCATTCATACATTTAAATCTTCAAAATTATAAGCGAAACTGCCGTTAGCATGTAAGTAGACAACTGGTTAAATAAAAATAATAAGGAGATGTAGCATGAGGATTATGATTATTATTGTTCCCTTGGGTTCCCAGTGGAACATAGGGCTTCAACTGCACGTCTACACTTGCTTCTGTCTTCTGCTGTACTTTTCACCCGCATCCATGTTAGTCCAAACTGTTTCAACTCCTCTTCACACGATCTCCTCCATGTCATCCTTGCACTGACGTCCCACTCGCCGCTTCCCTTTCGGGTTCCACTCGAGCAATAGCCTGACGCTCGCGCGATGTCACCCAGCGGCCTCCTCAACGAGTGTGAGGATTAACTCAGTGGTAACTGGTGCAAAACTCCTAATTTGGTTAAATGTACTCTGCATGAAGTTAGTCCATAATTAAAAATCCAGTTTGCACGAACTATTCCTATTTCACTTCTTGTTACGTTTTTCTCTAGATTCTGTCTTTTCATCTGCATGTTTTTTTATTGATGACAAACTTTCACTGTCTCTCTTTCTATCCTTTATGTCTAAAGCTTCACCATCCGGTAGTATGTTTGAGTGACCGTTACGAAAGATATCTCGTCGTCAGACACTTCAGAAATTCTTATCAGTAGTAAACACCATGACGGGTGGATTTATCAGTTAAGGCTAGTTTTCATAACACAGATTCCACCTTGATGTGATAAAAAAAGACTGGTATAAGAATAAAACTTGTGCACTGTGGTAGAGTGTAATTCCATTATAGGTAAAATTTGTTTTGATAAAGTCTCACAGTGTTATACAGTAATGTTTACTGATGACGTTTCATCCTTATAGGACGAAGCTACCCACTGAAGAAATTATCTTAGGAATTCAGTTATACCTCACATCTACTATCTTTAAATCCCAAGGCAAAATATATAGACAAACTGAAGGTGTAGCAATGTGCGTCGGTGGCTCAGTGGTTAGGACTCTCGCCGACCATGCATATGGTCCCAGGTTCGATCCCCTGCCGATGCACACCTGATATCTATGGTCGGCCTATAAAATTTGAGCTACCGATATCCGTGCTGAAAATTCCATACTTGTACGAAAAATACAGTGTGAAATCAAGCTGTAAATCAAAAATTAAAAAAAATATCCCCTATCGTAGCAGATATATTTATGGAAAGCTGGAAAACGTGGCTTTTAATACGTTTAATCCTACTCCAAAAATACGGTGGAGATATGTGGATGATACTTTCACAGTGATAAAAACAGAACATATCTCTAGCTTCTTCACACACATAAACTCACTAGTGGAGGGAATAAAATTCAGATTTGAATAGTAAAATGAACAAGGAAAATTAGCGATGTTAGAATGTAAAATAAAACGAATAGAAGAAGGTAAACTGCACACTAGTGTGTACAAAAACCAACTCATTCTAATAGGTATTTAAACTTTAATTCATCTTATCCCTTATCTGTTAAGGCAGGCTTAGTTAAGTGTTTAACAAACGGAGCAGTAGCACCAAGTCGCACATGAAAAGACCTAAATGATGAAATAAAACAGATAGAAGAGGCGTTGGTGTTAAATAACTATCCTATAAAATTCATTAGGAAAATCAGTACACCTGATATCTATGGTCGGCCTGCGAAATTTAGGCTACCGATATCACATGCTGAAAATTCCATACTTCTACCAAAAAGTACTGTGTGGAATCAAGCTGTAATCAAAAATAAAAATAAATAAAATAAAGACCAAAACCAAAACAAAAATAATTGTGAAACTAGTAATGATAACATAAATAAGAAAGAATATAATGGGACATCTGGGACCCTAAGTAGGATTCCTAATAAAGTAGGTATTAGGGTGGCATTCAAATCTACAAACTCACTCAGGTGCAAGCCCTGTGGGTTAAAGGACCCAGTTGACCCAATTAGACAAAATAATATAATTTACAAAATACCATGCAATGACTGTGAGGTCAACTACATAGTTCAAACTAGTAGGTCATGGGTAGTCAGAGTGTGGGAACATAAGAATTTAGCTAAGGTAAGAATGGTTGACTTAGAGAAGATACGTAATTTAGAAAAAAGCTCAACAATTGCAATGCATGCATTAACACATAACCACACAATAGGATGGGAGAGGGTTGAAATTCTAAAAAATAATCTATGTAGGTGGAGAGAGAGGTTGATTACTGAATTCTTGTTCATCGAGTCTACACCCAACACATGCAATAGGAATGATTCATCACTCATACCCGAAATATAGGAAATACTACTACCAATAAAATCAAGCGAAAATCAAGTGAAAAATAATGGAACTATATAAATGAAGTTAGGAAGTCGTGTGATTACCTTGATATGATTATGAGCAATAAATTGTGCTCGAAACGTCATCAGTAAACATTACTGCATAACACTGTGAGACTTTATCAAAACAAATTTTACCCATAATGGAAAAAACGCTGCCTTATTTTCTTCTAACAAATTCTAATTACTGACTATTCTTGTGATAAAAGTAATGCTTCAATTAAATTTCATTCTATAAAAAAAAACATTTATTATTGATAATTTACAACGAAAGCTACTTACTGATATTCGTTTGCAACTTATATACGCTAGATGTAATTGTTCAATTGCCATTGGCATAAATAAAGTGATTGAATAATACAGGGATGTTATAAAACTCATTAAGGCATATATTTGATAACTTTTCAAGGCTTCTGGATCTCCTTCTCCTTTGTGTAAGAGTAAAGCTGAAGCAATTAATACCAACATTGCTAGCTTTATTTGAAAAATCAATTGACTAAATCTAAAGGCTTGAAATATCCGAGCACGCATAATAAGTTTGGCTTCTTTGCTATAAAATATAAGTTAGTGTATAATTGCAAATATAAATTTAGAGTCAATTTAATTAAATAATAATATCGAAAAGTGATCATTAATACTTTAAGTAGCAGTGTAATCAAAATTGTTTATTAGACTAGAGCAATTAATTGTATAAACAAGTTGAATATACCAGTGAGAAGTGATGCTAAATCAACGAATATATGATTCAAATACAGAAAATAGCAAATACATTTTAGCACTTAATATTTTTTATTAGAAAATAAGTTATAAACTTGTCTATTGAGAATACTGGCTAATAATGCTACATATAAGCAAAGGAATTTCACACTTAAAGTAGGCAGACAATAGAAACTACTTCGGTAGTTTTGTAACAACAGAAGACAAGGACCGGCAACAGATCGTTTTATTACGGAAATCAGCACGTATTTATATATATTTCATGTACATTATTATAGCTTATTCAAGCAGACAAACAGTCTTCTGATTGGTTGTTTCTGGTTTCTCTGAAAGTTAAGCCATATATTTGCGAATCTTGTTTACCCACGTTAAGTCTGCTGTGATTGGCTGTTGAATCAGCCTTGTTCATATTTCCTCATGGCCAATATTAGTGACCTAGACACTGACGTAAATTAATGTCTACCAACTGGCCAGCAGCCTGCTCTCACCACAGTTTTATCCATTGGTATGTCATATGTATGAATATATATTTACTAAGCGAAGTTAAAGTATCATGGCCAAGGTCTTTCAAAAGTTGATTATCAAGAACCAACCAGATACAGGGAATGCTATGAAAGGTCATTCCAAATAAGATCATGCCTGCCTGCCCTTTGGACTTAGAGAAGGTAGACACAGTATATCACTTATTCTGTGTGTACTTTTTCTGTAAATCTATATTTTTAGGTAGGATTAGGATTATGGTCAGAATTAGGAATAGGTTTAAGAACATTGTCAGAAGTATCAATAGATCTCAATGTACTATGACTCACAGTCACCTGGATGAATGCCTCTCTCGCGCATGCTGTGATTTCCCTATAGACCATCTGTGCAGTGACTGAAAGACATTCTTAGAATACAAAAGCAACAACTATTTCATGTTTACAATGCTTTTTAGCGCATTTTTCAATGATTATGAGACTTTCTTCATCTGAATTCTGATTGGTTTTCCAGGGTCACTGTGGTTTTGGCTATGATAGTTTAACTTTGAGATTTACTAAATTAATTATAACTTATAAACACTTCTGCAAAGATCACATAGTATAATACATATTAAATTATAGGCATGAAATATGGGATATGTTGATACACTAGTGACTACTGGAAAAACAAGGGTAAAGAAAAGAATCTTTATACAATTACTGAAATCCGGGAGTTTTACACGGTTATGTTGCTCACATTTTTCTATTTTACTATCCGTATAAGCAGGTAAATACAAAAAGATAGTCATCTTCACATGTGTCACACATGCTCTGGTCATCTCACTGCTTGCAGCTTCGCAAAATGAAGGACTGACATTCTCTCTTTACCTAAGCTCAGTATTACTGACCACATTACCTGTCCCAGCGCGAAAAGTGAAATGCAGACACCTGTAGCCACAAAAAGCCTAACTTCTTCATATCTCCCCCTTTTCGGAAAGGCCACAGCCGTAAAGAAGGTCAAAGTGAAGTTCTAAGCAGCACACTGGTCTTTTGATAGATAGCCGAATAACACAACTGCATAAAAATGACTCAAGTTGACAAATGCATAGCAAGCTATGTGCACTTCTTACATATATGTTACAAAATGGTCGTATTTCAAATCGACATATAAACTAAGTTATAGTAGACCATGTATAAAGCTTATTTTAAAGTTTGAAATAAATACGTTCACTAGACAAAGAAATGTAAGTTGAGCAGTGGGTTAACTTGTGAGTAGTTCAGAATTGAAAGTATCTAAACAGTCACTGGATCTTTTAGAAGATACTCTGTAGTTTGAAATGAAATTTTTTTCTTTTATATCACAGTATGAATAAAACATAAATGTTGTCGAATAAACAAATAACAATTACCTTCGATAAGAATGCACTAATTTAGTGAATGCATTTTCCCATACATTGAATTTTATAAGACGTATACCTGCTATAATATCGGATAGAATACGAACACGATGATCAGTTACTTTTGCTATTCTAAATCTAAAATATAAAAAAGATAGTTTAGAACTAGAATATTCAATTCAAGAATACATTTAGGTGATTGATTTCAAGGGAAGTCAACTTCATTGTTTTGAAAAACTTACAGTTTTACAAGTGAATCAAGTATATTAGAGTAAAATTTTCAATTTAGTCTTCATGATCTTATTGTATAAATTTTTTCACCCTCTAGTTGTTGCTCTAATTTTCTGATTAAATATCAGCCTTCAGCTGTCATGATGCAAATAAATTATTGTTACCTAATCTGCCACCAATAGTTTTGTGAGTTACATGTTGAATACAGATTTTGAAAATGTTACTGTGGAACTGTTGAAGTATCTACCGTTTCCACTGCGCTTGTGGAGCGATTTATACTGGCCGTTGCTCTAGAAACTTGATTTTTCGTGCTCGAGAACATTTTCCAGTATGGCTAAGTAAAGTTGTAGTAAATACCGTCAACAGTTCGATATTAGACCATCTGGTCCAAACCGTCCACAAAGCCAGCCAGCATTGAAGAATCCTTCCCTATCATCAACCGGGTACCGAATAAACTGCCAAAAACAACGAGGTACCGCACGCTTCAAGCAGCAGAGACCATTCCAATTCACATGAAACAACCAGTGCTTTGTGTGCAAAAGAAACAAGTCCAACCAATACTGCTGTCCTCGCCAGCCTTCAGTGGGGACTATAAATTCATGAATTTGTATTATTATCTTTCCTAAGTTTTCTGACACTCACTTTATTGTTATGTTAATACTATCGAACTGTAATCCATCGATACTATCATTACTGATTTCGTGTTGTTTAAAAATTGTTGTTAATAACCCTAATTCATTGGTTATTATGTATATATAACTGTAGAACCTGATGATGAAGTTATCGAAAAGAATATTCTTTGTTCAGTGACCATTCTTTTGAAAAAATGTTAATATAGATTTTTATTCAGTCAAAAATGAATAATTTGCAGATTTCAGTTTCATATTAATTCTGCATAAATATTGAAAGTTTGTGTTTGACTGGTGACTAACAGAAGTTTGGAAAGCTAAAGTTCACCATCAGAGAAAAAATCTCAAAGATTTTGTTTCATTCAGTAATTAAAAGTAATGTATAGTGTAAGACGGCATTGTAAGGACAAAATGACGGTTATATAAGGAAAATATAATCAGTCTATACTACTAGGTGAAGCCAATATTGGAAATGGCAAAATAGCTTTAGGTATCTGGTTAAGTTATTCACAGAGAAAAAGATGTACACTTGAGATAACATGTACATTGGAACGGCAGAAAGAACAGCTTTTTTCCTGTTTTTTGAGCATATTACAGGAATTTTGTGCACGAATAGAACCAGACATTCACATAGAGCAGTTATCAATTACTTGATGGATAAAAGGCATTTTTTCAAGATCTCCAAGTCCTTTTGAGAATTGAATGTTCTGATATTTAGTTTAGAACTACATTTGTGCATAATATCACTTACAGTTGCTTCTGAACTGTAATCAATCGGTTCTACCAACTTGATATTATTTTATTTATTCCTTTACGTTCCCTGTGGAATGTAGGGTCTCAAGCTAGAGCTTTGAAGTTTCCGTAGCAATGATGTTTGTCTTTACGGGGTGAGGCTGCTAGCTTCATGCTCAACCTTCCCTCTTTACCCATCTTATTGACTTCCCAGAAAGGTTTAAGAGTGCGTCACCTGGGGATCTAGCCTTGGACCGCATGCGTGGTTGTCTAGTATACTACCGCTGAACCACTGACGCATTCGATATTTATCAAAAAACGCAATTGTTGTCAATATCAACCTCTCTGTAAATACTACGGATAAACAGTCATGACAAAGTTATCAACAAGAACATTCTTTGCCTAATCTTTTGTCTTCTGAATGCCTAGATAGGAATTTTTGCTTTACAAAATTTTAAACTTACACAACAATATCTCAAAAATTACACACAGCTCTTAAGTTTATACTTTTTTGACAAGTGTCGGAATCATATTTTCCTCTAACCTCTTATCCTGTGTTTATTGCATGGAGCTATAAAATTAACAATCACGCGATTGACTAAACCTATGCACTCATTCATGCAGGCTATAGTTCTTTCCGGTTTGTTAAAAGAAGCAGAACTCACTTTTTAAAGAAGGGAGATTCTAAACTGATATAATTACAAGTTTGATAATCGTGTGTGCATCGGTTGCACAGCGGTTAGGACGCTCACCGACCATGCACATAGTCCGGGGTTCGATCCCCGGCCACCGACGCACTCCTTTACCTCACTAAGCCAGAAATAATGCTGGTAAAGAGGAAAGTTTGGGCATGAGGCTAGCAACCCCATCCTGTAAAATTGAACACTGCTACAGAAACTTGACGCCACTAGCTTGAGGCCGTATGTTCCACTGGGAACGTGAAGGAAAAAAAAGATAATCGGTTAATTTTAAAAAAGTGAAATGCTTTCCTGTGCGAATGAACAAACGAAAACTGTTAAAGAGTATTTTGTCTGGTGTTAACATAGCTATCAAAAAGTTTATTAGCTGTTTATTTTACTTCACTCATTTTTCATACTAAACTCATAAAAAATGAATAGTGCAATTTAATTTACTCCTGCAATTTTACTCCTTTCACTGGGAAAAAATTAACTAATGACTCGTACACAAGATGTCATCCAGCAAACAATATTACTTCACCTTGTTATCTATCTAGTAAGTAAGCAAACTAATATGCAGTTGCGCGCTATCAGTGCCCACTTCTTACATAAATGCGAATCACGTCGTACTTTCCAAACTCATTTACTCATAGACCACTAGAACAAAAATGGATTTGTTTCAAATAAATCAGATAGACAATTTGCAAATTAATCAGTGATACGCATTTAACACAGTTCGAAGAGGTGAAACCTCACTAAAGTTACCTTTGGAAACCAAATTACTTAGATCTCAATCTGTGATCTGCTTGACGCCATATATAGTAGAAAAGAAAGCAAGCCTAAATGTGTAAAGCTATATACTACTGATCGATCGAGATGAGTAGTTGTATACCAGACAATGTTAACCAGCAGTGCTTGCCAACCAGATCTAGGTGATCTAAACACCAAACTGCCGTTTCGCTCATTTGGGTCTGAGCCCATCAGCTGTATACCCGCTTCGAATCAGACCACAGAGCTGAATCAGTTCAAGCAACCAGCCAGAGATGGAGTGATTCCAACTGATTCAGCTGTGTGATCTGAGTTAAAGCAGACACACAGCCGATGGGCTCGGCATCAAACAAGCCAAATGGCCGTTTGTTGTTTAGATCAACTATATCCGACCAGCAAGTACTATAACTATCTTTATGCACTTATTTAAAACACACTGTAACAAGTTATAACTCTTGTTTACACAAACTATCTGAGGTAAAGATATTTTATAAAAACTAAGCAAAAATTTCAAAATGTCTTACTTTGTTCTAGCATATCGTCGATTAAATTCCGACTGCATAGGAATGAGTAAAAAAATAACTCCGACTGCAAGTAAACTTGGAATGACAGTGATACGAGCCATTAGGCCAAAAACAACAAATGCTTGAAGTATTCCCATCCATATATAGTGTAGGAACACAAATGCCTAAAGGATATGAAATATAAATCATATTCATATATACTAAAAAATATTTGATATTGCTTCTTCACGTTGCTTTTTTGCCGTTTAATACAAGAAGATTCATTGGCGAATAGATAATAAGGATATATATATATGGGGATCCAGAGAAAATTCACCAGTTATCACTGAGTATCACTATGTCCAGTTTTCATTCTAATTTTGTCTTCAACAAGTAGAACGATATGACATATGGTTTTCCCAACGAAACTCTCCCTCATTTCTAGAAAAATGATGTGTCACTTTAAATTTTGATTACTGTTTTACTTTATCCATGCTTGTCCACAATTTCTTTCCATTAAAATTTAGAAATCATTTTATGGTTGAGTTATTTGGAATGTGATTATTTCTGCACCGGTATGAATAGCTGTCATCTTCTGCATACCTACCATTGCTTTTTATATGGTTATAGAGTTGAAAACTGACTATTAATGAATAGAGTTTTTATGAGTAGGCGTGTTAGATAACAGTAAAGCTCCATGTTTCCACTGAAAATAAGTTTATTGACTCATTAGACTGAGATAAAAATGAGATAATTAATCTACTTTTATGATATAGAATGCATTGTTTTAGTACAACAGATCAACGAAATTCCTTGAATTATAACAAACAGTTTTAGTTCTCTGTAGTTCCTTATACATCCTTAAACAAAGAGTATTAAGGGGAAGAGATATTATAATCTACTATGTATTACAAGAACTTGTTTCTAAAGTATGCTGAAATCCAAGGCTAACACTATATGAAAAGTGTTGATTAGGTTAACCAAAGTATTTGCAGCATATTTGTTTGAAAATTTCCTAAACTTTCGGCACAGTTTTCTCAACACGTTTTAAATACTCCCTACTGTTTCCACTCCCTACCATGCACTAAACCGTCAGACATCCGAATGCAGTGTTTATTGCTAACGACAAATAAACCTCTTTATATTTTAGTGGTCTTACGTCACTAATTAGTTTATAAAAACATTTCTGAATTCGAGAACTCATCGTAAACGAAACACAAATCACTGCAATCTCATCAAAGAGTGGCAGGAGAGGTGGCGAAGGCAGAAATTCAGATGAACACAAAAAAGACAGTGGTGAGGAAGATGCTCTGCCAAAAACAATAAATAATACACACTGGTAAGCATTTGAAGGAGGTAACTTCACTTATCTAGACAGTATTCTTTCAACTACAGGAGGCACAGACGGCGTTGTCAAAATCAGCATAGGAAAGGCAAGATAGTCGTTCATTACTACGAAATCAGTATGGAAATTTACTTCACCCAGGATAAAGAACAAGATTCAAATTTTCAACAATAATGTCAATACCTGTTTATGGTTCAGAGACTTGGTGCACATATAAATCTTCATTTTATACCGAAGATCAGACCAACAGCTGGAAATGATGAGTGACAAAGAGATCTGGCAGCATAACAACCGAAATCTATCTTCCAACAAATGCATAAGAAAGTGGGGATGAACCGAACATAAAGTGAGGAAACCGTTCAGTGAAATCACGCACCGAGAATTCGAGTGGAAGTGTAGTTGGAAAAGACGAAAAGGGCTTCAAGATATGATACAGGGGAGATCATCAGAAGAGGAAATAAATGCGTATGGGCAAATACACGGCCACCTAAAACGGACTGCAGAGAACAGATTAAAATGGAGGTGCACTGCTGATGCACTACATTACACTCAGAATCCAAGCGAATAGTATTAAGAATACTGATTAGTTCATTTCTTTCAATTAATGTCAGTATTAGTTTCAGCTTTCAAAGAAATTCGGTTTTATTTTGGGCGAATGTGAAAGAATAGGCTGCAGAAAAATTTCACAAATTTGATTTAGGGGGATTGCAAGGTAGTTATTTAGAAGACATTAGTGGGACGAAATATCACATAATGTTAGAAAGTGCTTAGTAAAGTAATTATTTACGTAGAGAGTACCCGAAAATACTGATAAGTGATCCAGAGCAAATAAATAGTCTATTAAATGGGCACTTTTGACTTTCGAATACTTTCGTTTTTCAAACTGTCTGTCCTCTTGACATGCACGTTACGCCTCTTAAGCATGATATGCTATAGCTACATATTTTAATATTAGTGTCACAATTTGTTAATACTAATAATATCACTCATTGTTATCCATTAACTCACATTCCCGATCTTTGACTCTTTTTTATTCTATCGATCTACGTTGTTCCAACTGCCTATAACTAATATTTTATCCTGCAATTACAAATATATGAAAATTTGACGAAAATACGTAGATCGTCTTGCATAAACAGAAGTTAGCTTTGTGTTTGCTGGGAAGTAAAAAAAAGTATTTACTTTGTCTAACTGTCTGGCAAGACTATATCGTTCCCTAATCAGACTGCTGGATATTACCTGTGCAAATGACCCACAAGCAGCTAACCGCAAATCATCTCAAATTTAGATGCAGATCTATTTAAAAATAGTATTCAGACAGTTAGAATTTTACATATAACGAAATCAAAATTATTTGCATTTCACGAAAATCATTTTCACAAAAGCAATTATAATTTGGACGTAAAATATGGACTTACCAATTCGAAGCTCTGAATGTCGATAGATAATAAATTTATAATCTGACCGGTTGTTGAACCTGCCAATGCCTTCTGATTAAGCCGAAGTACCTAACAAACAGATGAAACAGCTTAAAGATCAGAAACCTTTTTGAATATCAGACCCGAAGCTGAAACACGTAGACGAGCTCCTAATCTATAGGTAATCCAAAAAGAAGTCTGCCGCACAACAACAGACAGGAGAGTATTAAGGACGAAGACGGTACTAAACACAGTAGCTTTTATTAAGTGTTCACGATCCTTAAGGTTTTGGAAACCCCAAAGAGCTTCTTGAAGAATAACCGGTTTGACGGTTCCGCTAACAAACTAAATGTAATCTGAGTTACAACGAAAACATGCTCACTTCCACAGCCATACACAGGCCAGATAAAAGTATATCAGCTCTGGAAGATCTAATAACTGCCCAGAACAAGTTTGGATTCCGTCTACTACTTTCTACTTCCCATTGTCTTAAATAGTCAAAAACAGTGGAACATAGAACACATTACTTTTCCAGTTTCTCCGTATTGTATTCTGCTCTTTCTTTAACTGGAGATGGGTATATATCTCTCAGTGTCAGAGGACTTTTAATTGAAAGTGCAAACAGAGGATTCAACCATATATGTAGTAGTTTCGAAATGATGTTAGCCCTCTCATATGGCGAACCCAAATACTTCTTCTCCATACTTCGAAGGAATTCTAACAATGCGCCAAAAAGAAGCGAAAATACTATACAAAAGTTAATTTAAGTTCATAGTTTAAAACAAAAAGTTGACAACCAAGTCTTCAGTGCATAAGTTTAAAAATTATAGTAAGAAGCAGCTCCATTAGCGTTAGCCGAGTGATGTGCGAGATAAAATTAGACAAATGATTATGTATATCTTCATGTGATTCAGTTCTTTGGGCAAAGAATCTTCTGAAATGTATAAATGCGTACATATATATGCATAATACACTTCTTTATTTCCTAGAGGTGATGGTTCATGCTAGGTTTGAGCTTAAGGTGCTCATCTCTTCAAGAAAATTGGATTGCTTATCTACTTTAGCAAGATAATTTTGCCTTTCCTAAACGCTGCGTTTATAATTTTTGTAAGCCTGGTGTTGTACATATTTTTTTTCGTGGAAACCGTTTCCTGCACTCCAAATCATATTTTCATTCCCTTTATTCACTCAAATACCATCTCACTATATCTCATTATTCTAGTAACATCCACAAACAGTTTGAAACTGCTGTCAAGTACAATATTCGTCCAAACCTTAACCGAAACATTAATCGTCCGGCAAAAATGGTTTCGGTGCAGTGCTCAAATTATCTTAAGACGGCTATGCTTTTTTCAATGTGGGATGTTGAGAAATCAGTCAAGAATGTTCGGCATGGGATTATATCTTTCGCGTGTTGGTAGTTGTGTGCAACAGATAATCTAGTATCTGAACAAGTTACATTTTCTGCTGTGCATAATTCATGCACCAAATACTCTTCTGGCTTAAAACACCGCACATATTGCACTGGTTTACAACACGCAGTTTAGAATTTCGTCCTAGGTGTGAGTCTCTCCAAAACAAATGTTTGAATAACACCAAGAGTAATACTTCTGGCTCAAAAGCACCAAAAATTTATGAATGTAAAGCTTTCAAGAGGCGTTTCAATTTGTTCTGTCATATAGCCACCATATCCAGGACCACGAAAGTACGTGTCCTGTGTGGTTCATGAAACATCAACTCAGGTCCACATCACCGTGCAAAAAGTCCTCCCACTTATTTTAGTCCACAGCTTATTCAAACTGCCAAAGGAAAGAGACTTAAGTCCATGTAAGAACTGACGCGGCGTCATGCTTCTGTCTATCCCGATCAACATACGAGACCACGGCGTCCTGGGGAAAAATGCAACGCAGTGAATGAAAACATTTTACCGGAGCAGGCTGAATTCAGAAGAAACAAGCCATACCACGATCAAACCGCGACACTAAATATCATCATTGAACAGAGCTCGGAATGGCGGTCAGCTCTCTACCTTTACCTCATTATAATCAACTTTTAAAAGGCATTTCACAGACTTAGTCGATCGAGAGGTGATTTGGAAACCACTCTGCTACTACTGGGTGCCTCTAACAATTATACACCTTATCTAGTTGCACGACAATGCTGTATGCCAAGTTATCCACAACGGGAAACTCACGCAAGCCTTCGGAACCAAGACGGGAGCAATACAAGGCTGTCTATTATCTCCGATGATTTTTCTGATTGCTCTAGAGTGGATAATGTGACACACAGTTAGCGGACAACAAGGAAACAGAAATAAAATGGACCCACGCAAAAAACTGGGAGGGTGTTAACTTCGCCGAAGATATGTGCCTGATTCTCACAAACTCGATTACATGCAACAAGTTGGCAGAAGAGGCATTAAAGATAAGAATTCAGGTGAATATAGAGAAAAGAGAGGTGACGAAGATTCCTGGTCAACAGCAACAACAATCAGCATAAATGGGAGAAATCGGAAACCTACCTGGAAAGCACCGTCTCAAATACGGGCGGACGGAAATGATGAGTTTATCAAAGCGAGGATCTGGAAGGCAAGGTAAGCTACCATTACTCTCAAGTCTGTGTGGAGATCAACATCACTCAGCACGAAGAGCAAGATGCGGATTTTCATCTCTAATATGAAGTCAGTGCTACTTATTATACGGATCGAAGACTTAGCGCGTCATGAAGGGCACCTCAAACAAACTACAGGGTTTCATCAACAGCTGTTTACGCTCAATGCTCCTCAAGATCATATGTTCAGAAGAGGTCAGAAACAGGGAGGGGTCTCTGGAAGCGAACCAACCAGGAACCGATTGTGCAACAAATATGCAGGATGAAGAGGAGGTGGGTTGGCCATACTTTGAGAAGACAATCAAGTGACATCACACGACAGGACATTGCTCGAGTGGAACCTGAATGGGAAGTGGCTAGTTGATCATCCGAGAGTGAGGTGGAGGGGGTCATTAGAAGAGAAAATGAAAGAATGTTGGCAGACGTGGAGCCAGGTGAAAATGTTGGAAAAGAACCGAATGCAATGGAGATGAACGCCTGCAGGCCCGTGTTCCTCTGGGAACCAAAAGAAACAATGATAATATAATAATTGTAGTCCACATAGAAGGGGACTACAGCGAGCTTTCCTGAACATCACTTCTGCACTTTGATCTAAAAAACTGCTGGACAACCTCTGGGCCAAATTACACCTTAAATGCACTCTGATACAAGCCTGAATTTTGACGTCGCAGCGGTTACCTTACAAGCATCTTGATGGTCTACTGCACAAGGTGAGATGGCTGTTATATCAGATTTTCTACAGTGTTCTCCGCAGGACCATTCAGCTTAATATCCTCACAACAATGTGTTAGAGAAAATAATGCTAAAGATACTAGAACTTCAGGAGTTAAATCATCCTAATAAAATTCGCGCGGAATTTTTTATGCGCACCCATCCAAATTCACAAACACCAAATTCTTATACTGAATCTGTCGACTAATAAGTGATGCTGACTATGCTATCTTGTTGGATTAACACTGTCTAACGTCACCGTTCTCAACATGGCACTACTTTGAAGCTCTGAAAATTTATTCCTGTTCTTCATCTAAAGATCTTACCTGAATTCACATGAAACCCACAACTTACTTTCCTGGAGAAGCCACACACTGCGAAATCAATGTTTTGCTAATGGTCCCCGTTGACATACTTATCAGGTGGACGGTACACTGTTTTTCGAAGGACAAATGTAAACAGCAGAAATAACACAGGCCAGGTTTGTCCTAACTACCATGGGACAAGAAATTCTGTTAGTTTTTAACAAGAATTGTTCAGGAGTTGTCCATCATTCCTGGCCTTCACTAAGGATGAAAGTCAACATAAGCATGTTTTAATGAATTGGAATGGCCGCACACAACTACCGTTTGACCTTCCTACGTGGGCAGTCGTTGTGACCTAGCCAGATATATTGGGGTGCCGGCGCTCCGGTGACATATAATACAGATGGCAGAAGTCTGCAAAGCCTCAAAGTGAAAGAATGTCAAATGTTTCGTGCACACAATTCTCCTCTTGCAGTTGTCGGCACCCTAATCCACATTCAAGCCCATGGAATTACGTTATTTACATTAGGAAAGACGAGCTAAAAGAGATCGGAGGCCACCTTCACTAAGTTTAGTTGTTCTTCTCATGGCAACCCTAATAGGATTTATCATTGGAACGGAAAACGACACTGCTTTTACACAATTACCTCCACAAATATTATAACTGGACCAAAAATTTTAGTGTCCTCTGTGTTTTCCAGTTTCAGGCTTTCAAGTGCGACAGGTTGTGAAGGCTACACAAACGGACTGTAACGAATGCTGGGTACCCAGTATTACAAACAAGGTAATTAATACCAGTTAGTGTTCACGGAATCTATTCTGACAGTAATTCTAGAGAATACAGGAGATATTTGTCTCTTATTGTAGGAGACATCATGAAGACTTACTGATGACACGACACTGATTTTTTCGCATTCCTAGCCATCTGTCTCTTGACCGAAATGAATGACGACGAAGAAAACGGCACACAATGGAGAGCATTCATGTTTATAATGTCCGATATCATTTGTCGAATTCAGGTATTGGTATAAATCCAAATGACTGTTTAAATGCTAGGTAACCTAGCTAACTCCTCCGAAATCCATGTGAAAAAACAATTTTAATAGAAACTGGGTATTTTTGAGGAGTTGTGTAAGTCAATGCTTACTCTAATTATTCAAGTGAATTCTCCACAAATTCATGTACAGACTGATATTCAACTGTACACTGTGGGGTTTCCAAGCTGCTTACTAAGGATTATAGACAACCGGTTGGGTACGCTTTGAGCCACTTTCAGCTCGTCTCTGTCTCGCTTCACCCAGAAATAACGCTCATGGTTGTCATGTGACTGTGCATGCCACTAGACCTGAGCTTTGGCTGAACTACTGGCTAACTCCTGAACCTGACCCACTTGATGTGTTGCGGCCTTCGTGGATAAAAAAATCTACCAGTTTACATCAACTCACATATTGCTTTGATTTGCTCCAGTATCTTATTTTGGTCAGTCACAAATGTCTCCAGATGATATGTTTTTAGTTACATGCTTTATAAATCTTTCCAACCTGTCGCGCTGCGTCATCCTCAGAAATTTAACATTTATAAGAGCCTGTGCTTGTACAACAATCGAACAATTTAAACTTTTGAAAAGGTAATTTATGATTGTACATAAGTGAAAAGGATGTTTTATACTACTGGGATTAACATTTATCAAGTGTATGTATGATCTCCAGCGTACATGTAAAACATATTTTGCTATCGACTGTAAATTGTGACTGAATAATATGGTCTTATTTCTGTAACAGTTTGATGATGCCTGTAAACTGGCGTTCCTCATGTACTGTACTATGAGAATAAACTTATTTATTTAATTCACTATTGTAATCTATTACATAACAGATTATGCCTGTAAATATGACATGCACTTCTTGTAAGCAGCCGTTTACAGGAAGTTTAAATTATTATTGTTAACTGTCTTCGAAGTGATTTGTACCAACTTCAGATCTCTTTTGAACAAAATGGACTACCTCCAGTGTCTAATATCCTCAAACGCGTGTTGAAATACTGGCGTTTTAGCTATACAAGAGACTTGGCACCAAGAGCAGTATCGCGACAATCTAACTTCATAGAATGAACATAAATGT